ATGTCACCTTTGATGCCATGAGCTTCTACCTTTCTAATTAGTCTTTCGTGGGGGACTCTGTCGAAGGCTTTGCTAAAGTCGAGATATACCACATCATAATTGTGCCCCTCGTCCACCGATTCGAAAACTGATGAAAAGAATGTTAATAGATTAGTTGGGCAAGAACGTCCGCTTGTGAAGCCATGCTGGGAATCATTGATCAATCGGTGCTTCTCCAGGTGATTTCGAATAGAGTTTGAAATGATTGCTTCCAGTAATTTGCCTACTATTGATGTTAGACTGATTGGGCGGTAGTTAGAGGATAGTGATCTATCCCCCTTCTTGAAAATCGGTATTACATTTGCTATCCTCCAGGATTCTGGTACTACACCTGTTTTTAAGGACATGTTAAACAACTTTGCTAAGGGCATACTAAGCTCTTCCTTACATTCCTTTAATACTCTGGCAAATATCTCATCGGGACCAGGTGACTTATTAGGCTTTAGTTTGTCTATTTGCTTACTAACTTCGTTACTAGTCACTACTATCTCACTTAATTTGTTTTCTTCACTATCTCTGAATAAAGTCGGTGCCTCGGGTATCATGTTTAAATTTTCAGTGGTGAAAACTGTTGAAAAATATTTATTTAAATTATTGCTCATTTCTCCGTCGTTATCAGTGAGCTCGCCGGAGTCTGACCGTATTGGTCCAATCTTTTTTCGTGTTTTAGTTTGATACATTTGGTAGAATCCTTTGGGGTTTGTCTTCGCCTCCCTTGCTATCCTTACCTCATTATTCCTCTTTGCTTTCCTTATCTCGGTTTTAACCCTACTCGCCAATACCCTATAATAGTCCCGGAGGTGAATTTCGTCACGATTTATCCTTCTACCTATAGCCTTCCTTTGGCCAATGATGTTCTTTAAATAATTATTTATCCATTTAGGGTCATTGTTTTCTGATCTGAGTTTTTTGTATGGTATGTTCTGCCTTTGTGCATTAAGTAACTCACTATTTATATTGTCGTGGAACTGTGCAATCTCAGATCTCGTTATCAGGTCGGTGTCATCTGTCAGGTTCACGGCCAAGCGCGACACCCCTTCTCTCAGCTGCCTCTTTAAACTGTCAAAGTTTGCCCTTCTGAAATCTGGTACTTTAGTGGAATTTTCCTTACGTCTGCCCTGAAAATCTAACTGGAATCGAATTTCTTTGTGATCGCTGTTTGCAAGTTCGTTCCCTACCTCGACATTGCTAATGAGGTTTTCTCTATTCGACAGAACTAAATCGAGTATATTATTACCCCGTGTGGGTTCGGTTATATGTTGACTTAGGAAACTGTCCTGGATCGTCTCGAGAAAATCCTCTGATTCTGAGTTACCCGTAAGGTCAGTCCAATCTATTTGGCCAAGGTTAAAGTCGCCTACTATACAGACTTTGTTGTGTATGGAAGCCCTGCGCATTTCATCCCAGATAAGTCGCTCATTGACGCTATCAAGATTGGGGGGTCTATATATTACTCCTGTTATTAATTTTTCCCGACCGTCGCTTAATTCTATCCAAATTGTTTCTGTATTCCTCTCAGTTTTTATTTCCTTATTTATTTCACACTTCAGATTATCCCTAACATAGATTGCTACTCCGCCTCCTTTCCTGGTCTGCCTATCGGTATGGAACAGTTTGTAACCCGCAATTTGGTATTCGACTGGTAACTCACGTGTGTCTAGGTTTCAGTGAATGCAATTATATCGATTTTTTCGGTACATACCAAGGCCCTAATATCATCCATTTTGTTTCTCATTCTTCTACTGTTCGCGTAGTATACATTTAAGTTAGTTGTGTTCTGAGTCCTCCCCTTACCGCGTTTAGTTTTAAACTCCCTGTCTAATTTAGTTTTGTCATCATTCCTAACACTATTTCCCTGTAGTCTTTCACTTTGTTACCCGCTCCCACTGCAGTCTCCTCCACCCCCGTGCTCATATGTTCTCCTAGCAGTTTAAAGACTTCGATATCTTTTGAACTGCCCCCTCTAGAGCCCCAGCCAGGGTTGCTACTCCATCCCTAGACAGGTGCACCCCATCCCTAGCATAAAGGTCCCTTTATGTTAAGGATGCCATCGAGTTTGCAGAGAAACTCAAGCTTGTCCTTTCCAACCACCCTGACGATAACCGCTATGAAGTCTTCAATAACCAGTTGTTGCAGACTATGGAGCCGTACATCAATGTGTATCACGACAACATCAACACTAGCCGTCAGCGTAACATCACGGACTTCTTCGCCAGCAACCCACCACAGCCAGCCCAAGCCAGTGAAAGTGACAGTGACGCTATGGACTTTGAGGGATTTGTCAGGGAGGCCCTGACAACTATGGTGGATAGTGATGGTGATTCACCTGAGGGCTAGTAATCTGCCCTCTGCCTCGGAACCAGCCGCCATTCCCGTATGCCGACCCATCTCTTTTACTAACGTAAGTGTTAAACCTAACCAAACCTAACGTAAGTGTTAAACCTTGATTTTTTCTAACCTAACCTAACCTAACCTTACGTAAGTGTTAAACCATAATTTTTTCTAACCTAACCTAACCTAACCTAACCTAACCTAACCTAACCTAGCCTAACCTAACCTAACATAAGTGTTAAATCTTGATTTTTCCTTTACCTGGTACAGTATATTATTCTCTTATTGATATTTCTCTTCTATATTATGTGTGTGTGCATACCATCATAAAGTTAAGATACTATTTTTACTACAAGGTACTTATTGTGTCGGAAAAGTGGAGTTAGGGGGTCGGCCCAGTCTCTATTTCAATTCATCCCATATGTTCTGTTATTTCATTTACGCGTTTCTCGTTTTACGTGGTACTCCGCGGGTTCAATTGACCGCGTAAATGAAGATCTAACTGTATTTTTGTTGATAGTAAAAGTGTATTGGAAGCCTTGCAGAGTGAAATTTCCTGTAACTTTCATATTGTTAATGTCTGTAAACCACTGGTCATATTAATGCAAGAAATGGAATGTACTGTGCAGTTTGTATAGATTCCATCACATGTGGGGATTAATTTAAACGAAGTGGCTGACAAATAAGTCCAAAAAGCTGCAGAAAAGTTGTTTACAGATATTGTTAGCAATGTAAGTATTAGAACGTTAAAGAGGGAAATAAAAATAAAAAGAGAGGAAAGGGAAAAGGCAAGAAGAGAAGTGATTACCATATGCAGCCAGAGTTTTCAACATTATTTGTATGTTTTACAAAACACCAGTGTAAGTTAAGGGGCTAACTTACCATCTGTTGATACTGTGGTAATGAGACTAAGTTTAAGATACAAATATTACTGGCAGATATAAGTGGAGGGGCGGGTCAACCTTGTCAACTGTGTCATCTGAGGGATGCACATACACTACAACATTATGTATTAGGATGTGAAAAACTCCAACCATACAAGAACAGTGAGATCACTTCTTTAAAGAAACAAGTTTGTTGGATGATTAATAATAGATAATTAAAATAACTGTTACACTGTATAAAAATTTTGCTCCAAATATATGACATTTCTCTTTGTGTAAGATTACATTATCTGTTCTTTTAATGAAGTAAAGTGTTCATGTCAAATTGAACTATTTCATTGATCTTAATATTTCTGTATCAAATTCATCCGGCTTCAGAGATCCTGTCTACGGCCTACTACCGATTCACGGTAGTTATCAGTCCACATGCAGGGCCTGGATATACAGGAAGAGCGGGAGTCAGAATTAAATATTAACTAACTTAAAAATGTTTAGAACACACGTTTTTTTGCAAATAAATGATTGGCGTATGCTCATTTAAAATATATGACGTTCAATTACGTTAACAGGACAAGGCTTAAGTAAGTAAAATCAACTCAATATGAAAATGGGGGACATGGAGTTACATGCTTTGATATATGGGTGGAGCACGAGTCAGAATGAAATTTCCGGCCGCGTCTCTTGGAGAATATTCGACCCAGGTTACACAGTCGGGTTTTCTCAGTCAGTGTATTGGTCTGAAATACATAGTGTTCTATAAAAATTATGGCTTTAGGGTTTTATTTATTTCAAAATTCGAAAGTTCATAATCTTAGCTCTTACTGGTCTCGAACAAACTCAGGAAATAGACTAAGTGGACATCGTGTTTGATCAAACTTTTCGGGTGTCAGGTTACGATCGATCTGGGAAAACGTAGCGCATTTTATTATGATTAATAGGTCGTTGAAATTTCTTTGAGTTACAGTATTCATGACGTTCTCTGATATGCAGAGAATAGTTATGTAAATCAATTTCGTTTCAAAGACGCTATATCACGATACAAGAGCAAAACAATTTAAGCTGAATCAGTTGAATCTAAGATATGTTCACTTTCCACAATAAATGCAGACAATTAAAGCGTTCAACATATATTCACTTGACCTTGAAGGCCCATCTACCTGTTGGCATATACAGAGATTTGAATAATTCTTAAATATAGATTTAACATAAACAGCTGTCATGAAAGAACGTCAGTTCGATCTGATAGGCTTGCAGATAACTCAAGTAAACAGGATGTTTTATGGACGATGGATAATAATATGAATGAATGTGGGCTTTAATATAATATCGGTGCAACTGTGACCATTACACGTGAGCCTTAAAAATGTCAGTGACAGTAGCTTCGTTTTCAAATACATGATTAATGGTTTTGCAAGCTGAGGAAGAACTCCCGTGCAAAGAGAAGCCATCTTGCGACTAACCAACTAAAATATAAAACTCTGAGGATGCGCAGGAGTATTACTGTATGTGACACCGCCAAAACATGAGTTCTTGAGTGAAATATAATTTCCCCCCAAAAAAAAAAAAAAAATTGTGGCGGAAACATAAGATTTTTTGGCTCTTATTACCCCATATAAATATAAATATAAACTAACGTGATTGACCTTCTCCGAATTTTAAGCTACAAATCTCCAATACTTCACAGGAATCGCCCTTCGAGTTTTTCCTTCATAAAACTGTATTCTAAGTCTAAATTATTATCAACAGTCATGAGTGACCGAAGCATCAACAGAGGCGGGAAAAAACAATTGACCAATAGATATCAACTCGACCAAGAGATGTCGCCTGATGAACCTTCGGCTACGGATAAGCTCACTACTGGTAGGTGTTTCCCTCATTGTTGAACTGATCAGTGTTTTGAATTGTCGATGTGGTAAACCTAGCCATATTTTCAGATGACTGTAGAATTAAGCTGTCTAGATTTTAAGAGTCTGTTGAATAAATATAGCTACATTTTCAAAAGTCTGCTCCAAACAGCCAGGACGAGTCTCCGAACTGTTTTTGTAGCCATAAATAGCGTTGAAGTTTCTTATTTTGGTTCGGTACAGTTTCAAAAAGGGGTGTCAATAAATTTTAACCAGACTCCTTTGATGATGTCACGTAGCCTTCCTCTTCCCCCCCTCCCCGCACAGGTGTTCCGCAGGAGCAGGTGGAGGAGCACACAGGTGCCAGGAGGCGGAGGATCTTTACGCAAGTAGGTCACAACCTTGGACTCATCTTATCCTTATCTTGACCTCTCTCGTCCATTGTACTGTCCCTAACCAGACCTCTCTGTGTCCTTATTCTTGCCTCACTAAATGAATCTTACCCTGTCTGTTCTTTTTCTGCCTTTACTCTTTCCCTAAATGTGTCTTCTTTGTTGCAAACCAATTTAACATTTTTATATCATTGACACCTTAAATTAGAGGACTGTTGGCACTCAACATTGTGTCTGCAGCCTGTGTCCTATATTGTTGAAACAGCCCTAAAATTGGTTTGACAAATAGCTGTGTAATTTGTCAACGAATTTAGATAAATATACAGTTTTTATTCATTTAGAGCTTAGACATTTATTCATCATATTTGCTAATATTTTCGTAATTATCAACATATGTCACGCAATGACAACAGCGTTTAAACTTTGCAATATCCAATTTTTTTTGTTCTTCACTCACGTCCGTGAGAAACTGTTGATCCAATAGTATGATATTGCTACTAAAGGTTCTTTATTACATGGACCATCTTTTATACATTAATGTTGGGGTTCTACACTGATTTTAGGTGAATGCAATAAGCCAAGTTGTTCCTAAGCACACCAGATTCGCCACTCCAAACGAGTTTTTTTATGGCATGAAATAAATTATGTAACAACAATTATAATAACGAATTAATTAATATGCCAAAGATGATGATTTAATGATTTATGGAAAGAATTGTGGTTAATTAAACTCAATGATTTTCATTTTGAAGCTTGTCCTTGGGTCGACGACAGCCAAGTTGTTCCCATACCACTGGAGTCTTTGACATGACATTGGAAAGTGTGCGACGTGTCTTCCAGTCTTCAGACAGAAGGGCGACCACAAATATCAGAACTTCTATAAATCATGAGCTGCATCTATTCTTGGATACCAAAATGGCTGCAAGGAGGTGGAAAGCACTCTGAATGAAAAATGTACAGTCGTGGCCAATGTAGGAATGCTCAGTCCCTTCTATTTATTTCCTGTAGAAATCCGCTTGACATCATGGCATCCAGTATCTCGTCTTCAACTTATCTGTTTTGGTGTTTGTGTGCCAGGAATAAGCCGATGACAAAAAAATTTATGCTTTAAAGTGCCAATGAAGTCGATTAGGAGCTGCGTATCGTCAGTTCTTATGACTTGCAGCAGCTTTATGCTCCACATGTCTGCTGTTGTCGTGGAGGCTTTGTACTGACCTGGTCAGTGATATTTTGTTTTAGCACAGGGTTTGCTTTTGCTTTACGTTAGCAAACAGGATGTTGACAAGGCATTGCTCTGGGCGCAGATCTTTAAATATAACCGGCAAATTACTGTCCTTGAAACCGTGGGGCATTAATTCTAGAATCGTATGTTACCTAGGGAGAGTAATTACTCTGCATTTACTTTGCATTACGTATATTGTAGGTGAGCCACAGAGAAGTTTTGCAGCAAGATCAAGTAAATGCTTGGTGTAGTGGAAATTACTGTATTTTGGCGATTGGGTCACTTGATTTACAAAAGTTTCCGGTACCAAAAAGTGAACATAGCAAATAAACTATGGATTTGGTAGTATTCACGGTACTCTAGGTTTCACGTAAAGGCGAAATTCAACATACTGGGCTATTGGCAGTCTATTGCAAATCTCCCTCTCCCCAGTAGTTGCAATACTTGCACCACTGGACCAAGAAAAGGGAGAGCCAAGATGTGTGGTTGCACCCTGCGTTTCTGCCTCACCACATAAATCAACTCACGTGCAGCCACCATCCAGTTCATCAAACCTCTCATCATCATCAAAACCCCTTTACCCTCCAAAAGTTCTATGGCGATGGACGAGTGGCAACGGGGACAGGCAGAGATGAATACCGGGAGTCACTATTCACAACTCTGCACATGGGCGACACATATAAGATGGTCGTTTATCCACTGGGCAGCAGTGCAATCCGGTCCTGTCTGTACGACTGTGCAGCCCTTTCGAGGAACCACCCTGCTCACCCTACATGGGGAAGGGGCTAGAAAAGATGCACTAAACATAGCCTACCTTAAAAACCAACCTGACTGGTCAACTGCACCCTGTAATGTCATCCTTATGAGGTCGAAAACACAATCAAAATCACATATCCAAACAAAAACAAACTATACACCCTCTTATGGTCACTGCATGGAATGTCAGGACCCTTCTGGATACTGACACAAATGTAAGAAGAACCGCCCTTGTGGCAAAAGAGCTGGCTAGGTACAACATCGTCATAGCCAGCAGTGAGTCCCGGCTCCCAGACGAGGGTCACCTGACAGAACGGAGGTCTGGCTATACCCTCTTCTGGAGGGTAAGCCTGCTGCAGAGAGAAACTGCATTTATGGAGTTGACTTTGCCATCTGCCAGCGCATCCTACACAGGCTAACTGAAATGCTTATAAGGATCAACGAGCGCCTCATGACACTCCGAATGCCACTGAATCACACACGTGCATATGCCCTAACACTGGATGCAGAGGATGACATCAAGGAGGCTTTTTACACCGACTTCGACAGAGTGCTAACCTTTATCCCCAGAGAAGATAAGGTTGCGCTCCTTGGTGACTTCAATGCCAGAGTTGGCAGAGGTGCTGACATTTGGCAGAGAGCCATAGGGAGAAATGAACTAGGCACGTATAATCCCAACGGTCTACTCCTCCTCAGCAAGTGTGCTGCACACAACCTCACTATCACCAATACTTTGTTTAGTCAGGCCGACAAGTTTGTGGCAACACCCACGATCCAAACACTGGCATCACATTGACTATATCATTGTCAAAGAAAAAGATCGCCGAGATGTCCTCATCACCAGTACCAAGTGACACTGATCATCGGCTCGTCAGAGCCAAACTCTCACTTTGTGTCGCCCCAAAACGGCAAAGGCAGCAAGCCTCCAGAAGAGGTTTTAACACTAACCGTCTAGAGAATCCAGCTTTCAGAGAACATCTCAAACATAGGCTGAAAAACAGCCCGACGAAAACAACCCAAATCCCAGTGCCGAATGCGATATTTTCGACACTGTCATCACAAAAACCTGCAGAGAGCCCCTCGGCCAGATCGAAAGAATACGCCAGGACTGGTTTGATGAAAATGACCCGGCAATCAATGTACTCGTCAATGATAAACGTGCTGCTTTAACTGACTGGCAGAACAACCCTCACTCTAGGACCAAAGCTGATACCTTCCGCAAGAAGAAAGCGGCGGCCCAGAGGGAACTTCGCAATCTAAGGAACGACTGGTTTAAAAGTAAAGCATGTGAAACACAAAAATTTGCAGATCAGCGCAAGATGCACGGATTTTTATATTCCACTAAAGCATTTTATGGACCCGTGGCGCAGCCCCCCTCCACTCATCCAATGGTTAAAGAAGATGAAGGCATCCTTCAGCACTGGGAAGAGGACTACCATTCACTACTCAACCAAAATACCGATGTAGATGTCCTGATACCCACCAGGTCCGTCAACATCCAGAGCTGACCCACCTCAGCTATCCTCCATCCCTGGATGAGATAGCTACTGCCATCAAACAGATGAAAAACATCAAAGCCTTAGGGCCTGATGGAATCCCAGCCGAGGTGTATAAAGCAGGCGGACCTCTGATTACCAGCCGTCTACACTCTCTTCTGGAGAATATATGGGAAAAGGAGGAAATCCCCCGAAGCTCTTCGTGACGCCTCCATCGTCAATATTTATAAGAACAAGGGAGACCGGTCAGACTGTGGCAACTACCGCGGGATCTCGCTATTGTCCTTAGCTGGGAAGATTATCGCCCGAGTCCTCCTAACCAGATTTCTTCCTGAGGCTGAAAACCTCCTCCCAGAATCTCAATGTGGCTTTAGACCATCCCGTGGCACCACTTACATGATCTTTGCTGCCCGTCAGATACAAGAAAAGTGCAAAGAACGTGACCTGCACATGGCTTTCATCGACCTAATTAAGTCCGTGGACCATCAGCCATTTTAGCTGCCCACCAAAATTGTGAGGCAACTCCACGATGGCATGAACGACAGTGTCCTGCACAATGGCACCCAGTCTGAGTTCTTCCTCATCCAAATGGGGATTAAACAAGGGTGTGTACTGGCATCAACTCTCTTTTCCATTCTCTTGGTTGCCTTCCTTACGCGTGCCAGTGCCAATTTAGCCAGCGGGGTGGACCTCGAGTAACGGGGAGTCTTTTCAACATAAGACGATTCTAGGCAGGATCAGAGGTGTTGGCAGCTTCCATTACTGAGCTTCAGTATGCAGACAACCTCACCCTTGTCGCTTACACTGAACGCGACCTACAGGAGATTCTGAACACCTATGCAGATGTGCATGCACACTTCGGCTTTGCGGTGAATGTACATAAGCTCTGATTCTCTTACAGCCTTCCCCTGCTTCAGCCATACCTCCACCATCCTTTCAGCACTACCCTCTCTAAAGTTACCCATTTTCGGTATCTCGGCTTCCACCTGTCCACCACTGCAGACATTGAAGAAGAGATTCAGCATTTGATCAGATGTATATCTCAAGCCTTAGGCAGACTCCGAAACCGTTTGTTCAGCTGTAGGGAGCTGAAATTATATGCAAAGTTACACGTATATCGAGCAGTGGTCTTCCCCACCCTGCTATAGGGCAGCTAGACATGGGTCACATACAGGAGGCACCTCAAGGCACTTGAAAACTTTCACCAACGTAGTTTAGGTTCAATCCCCCGAGTTCGCTGGGAAGACAAGAGAACAAATGCCGGTATTCTTGCTGATACCATTATCTATGAACAACTACGTTGGGTTGGCCATGTTATCTGCATGGAAGACAGTAGACTGCCAAAGCAGCTACTTTACAGTCACCTAATGAATAATAAACATAACTCTGGCGGACAACTGAAAAGGTATAATGATAGTTTTAAGACAAACCTGAAAACGTGCCAAATCGACACCCCCTCACCTGGGAGACAATTACTCTACACCGTAACGCTTGGAGGATCACCACATAAGAACATAAAAACATAAGAAAATAAGGAGTCTGCAATAGGCCGGTTGGCCTGTGCATGGCAGCTCCTGTCGAGAGTTACTACCACTCTCTATCATCCATGAATTTATCCAGCCTCCTTTTGGAACTTTCCAGCGTTCCAGCACTTACTACAAAGTTGCTAAGCTTGTTCCACTCGTCCACCACCCTAATTGTGAACCAGTTTCTTCCTATCTCCCTCCTAAACCTAAATTTATCCAACTTAAATCCGTTGCTCCGAGTCCTATCCTGCTCGGATATTATATGAACTTTATCTATATCACCTTTATCGATTCCTTTCACCCACTTAAATACTTCTATCCTATCTCCCCGCACTCTTCGTCTTTCTAGGGAATGCAAGTTTAGTTTATTTAACCTATCCTGATATGGAAAGTTTCTAAGTCCTGGAATCACTTTCATTATTCTTCGCCGCGCCAACTCTAGTGAATTGATATCCATCCTATAATAAGGGCACCAGAACTGAACCGCATAATCGAGGTGCGGCCTGACTAGCGCAAGATATAGTTGCAATAAGACCTCTGCACTCTTATTACTTACACTTCTAGATATATAACCCAATACTCTGTTTGCCTTATTTCGAACATTAACAGTCATTTACGACCAACCCCTCTTCTAGGCAAGACACCACATACTATCGGGATCCCTCCTCAATCTCTAATCATCCCCAGCGCCTCCCTACACCTCTTGAAAAGTTCCTCACTCCTAACCTTTCCTATGTCATTTCCTCCCACATTAAGACACACTGCTGGATTGGTACCCTCCCCTGACAAAACCCTATCTATCCTCTCAGCTACATGCCCTATCCCAGCCCCAGGAAAACACACCCTAGTCCTACGTTTCCTATCTCTTGCACAAAAAGTTCTATCTAAAAACCTCACCTGGCTGTCCCCAACTACCACGACCTTACCTCTGGGCAGGGTTTGTACAACTGCCATTCCTCTCCCTGCACCACACCGTCCTGCCTCTTCTCTTCCCCGCCAGCTTCCTCCTGCACACCCTGATCAGCTTTCCTGAGTCTGACCCTAGTCCCCTTGGAGACAACCACTCTCCACGCCTGCTCCTCCTTCGCAGGTGTCCTTCTAGGCAGGACACCTACCTGAAGGAGTTCAGTCCTGAGGGCTTCATTTTCCCCCTTTAGAGTGTCAATCTCACTCCCCAACAGCCCCAGCTGCCTTAACAGTGACTAGCAGGTCGTCTTTCCCCACACTCCGCTTCTCTTCCCCCAAGACACAACGATTCAAGGCGGCCATTTTCCTTGGTCACAAGAAGGTGTAAATTCATTCGAGTTAGCCCAACTGCATAGGGAAACAGACAAGCGCCAACGCCAGAAAGACGCTGCTGCCGCCCCTCCCGCACTAGATGTACCCCCAACATGTGAAGCATCTGTGATCAACCCTGCCGGTCCCTTATCGGCCTCTTTAGTCACCTCAGAACTCACCAACCTAGGTAACATCTTTAATAACTCATATCATTGTAACATAGCTGGATGATCGTCTTATTCGGTTCCGAGAGACAGCAAAGTAGTGGTATGTGTGTGTGTGTGTGTGTGTAATAATAAATAATAATAATTAACTGTTTATTGAAAGAGCAGGGCAACCGGAAGGCTGAAAATATACAATTACATAATTGGGGAATGGGTCTCTTGATTTACAAATGATATACAAGTAACATAAGTGATAACAATATGATATATAATAATTAGGTGTCAGTAATTTTTACAATGGTTGGGACTGGGCTCTTCTTATAGCAATCAGTTCGTGCTCGTAAGGGCTGGATGCGATTGAGCAGGTGTGTGGCCACGTGGCCAGGACAGTAGCTTGGGGCAATGCAGGTGTGCTCCATCCTTCAGGTTAAGTCAGGTGAAGCCGTGAGGTCAGGCCAGTTTAGGTCAGATCCAGCCACACTCAGTATTACACTACTGTGTTTTTGTGCTTTTCCTTGGAGTGCACTATAGGAACACTGGTAGTCAATTTTTCTCTGATCACTTGAATGGTTGCTGAATAAATCCCAGTGTAGTGAGGCTGGTAGGGCGTTGGGCTATAGCAGGGGGATGGGGGGGGGGGGCAAACACACTCGGCCTGGCTGCTCAAACTGGCAGCGCCTTCAGGGCATGTCTTGTCTCGCTGGTGGTTGAAAAGTGTGTGTGTGTGTGTGTGTGTTTATACAGTACACCAGTACATATATCAAACATCCAAAAGAAGATGATTGAAGGTAATTAAACTCAACTACATCCAGCTCTGTATGACCAGTACCCTTACCAACGGTGGCTTAAATGCAGTCATGTTCCAGGCCCTCTAATCTAAGGTGTCTATGTTTATAATTCACCAAATAAATATTTGCTTATTTCAGTGTGATCACGGTAATATTCAACATGGTGCAATCATGGTAATAGAAAGATATCACTGTGGTCATAATTATGAAGAATGTGTGATCATGGAAATATTCATCATGGTAAATCGGGAAGATAACAATTAAAAACACTTGATATTAAAAAAAAAGTAGACAATATGTAACTGCACATGATTAAGGAAGTTATGGTGTCACCCTACAGGTGGTGATGGTGTTGGGGGCGAGCTTGGGCCACGTAGGGCTGGCAATTGTGGCGGCTTGGCCCAATCCTGCAGTACCAGACATGCGTCAACATAACACTACCATCTATGGCACCCCCATTGTCCTCACCACCTGGCAGATCGATATGCTAGGTGAGGATTAATGGTGATATATATTTGTATGTAGAAGTCTATGTATATATGGACTGTTTTTAGTTTTAAGAACATAAGAATGGAGGAAACTGCAGCGGGCCTATTGGCCCATACTGGGCAGTCCCATTCACACCCAACCCCTATTGCTCATATAAGCATCCAACCTATGTTTGAAGCTATCCAGCGTATTCGAGTAAATGATGAAATTTTGTAACTTGTTCCACTCACCCACTACTCTATTTCCAAAGCAATGTTTACCTATTTCCCGCCTAAATCTAAATTTGTCTAACTTAAAACCAATGTTACGAGTTCGTTCTTGGTTGGATAGTTTGAGTACCTTTGTAATGTCCCCTTTGTTTAGCCCTGACTTCCATTTATACACCTCTATCATGTCGCCCCTTGCTCTACGTCTCTCGAGGGAGTGCAAATTAAGACGCTTAACCTGTCTCTGCACTCAAGGTTCCTAATGCCCGGGATTAGTCTAGTCATTCTCCTCTGAATTCTTTCCAAGGATTCTATATCCATTCTGTAATAAGGTGGCCAGAATTGAACTGCATAATCCAAGTGAGGTCTCACAAGCGCAAGATATAATCTTAAGATAACCTCGCTAATCTTGTAACTAACACTCCTTTGTATGAACCCAAGTACTTTATTAGCCTTGTTTCGAGCAAAAACACATTGTTTACTTGGCTTAAGATTCCTACTTATCATTACTCCTAAATCTCTCTTGCAGTCGCATTTATCAATAACATCTTTGTTCATCTGGTATCTGGTTTCCCTGTTTACATCTCCTATACTGAGTATTTTACATTTGTCCACATTGAATTTCATCTGCCATTTTTCAGACTATTCGAAAAATTTTTTTATATCTTCCTGTAGTTTTGCAGAGTCCTCGTCAGATTTAATTACACGTCCTATTTTAGTGTCATCAGCAAATTTACTTATGTTGCTGTCTATGTCAATATCTATGTCGTTTACGCATATAATAAATATTAATGGTCCAAGTACTGAGCCTTGGGGAACTCCACTAGTGACATTGCTCCAATGGGATTTAGTGCCGTTAATGCTCACTCGCTTTTTCCTGTCCGATAACCACGCCCTAATCCATTTTAGAATATCACCTTCAATGCCATGAGCTTCTACCTTTCTTATTAGTCTTTCGTGGGGGACTCTGTCGAAGGCATTGCTAAAGTCGAGATATACCACATCATAATTGTGCCCCTCGTCCACTGATTCGAAAACTGATGAAAAGAATGTTAATAGATAAGTTAGACATGAGCGCCCGCTTGTGAAGCCATGCTGGGAATCATTGATCAACTTCTGCTTCTCCTGGTGATTTCGAATAGAGTTTGAAATGATTGCTTCCAGTATTTTGCCTACAATTAATGTTAGACTGATTGGACGGTAGTTAGAGGATAGTGATCTATCTCCCTTCTTGAATATCGGTATTTCATTCTCTATCCTCCAGGGATATGTTAAACAACTTTGCCAGGGGCATACTAAGCTCTTCCTTACATTCCTTTAATACTCTGGCAAATATCTTATCAGGGACCAGGTGACTTATTAGGCTTTAGTTTGTCTATTTACTTACTAACATCGGTAGTAGTCACTATTATCTCGCTTAATTTGTTTTCTTCACTATCTCTGTATAGAGTCGGTGCCGCGGGTATCATGTTTAAATTTTCGGTGGTGAAAATGTTGAAAAATACTTATTCAGATTATTGCTCATTTCTCCGTCGTTATCAGTTAGCTCGCCGGTATCTGACTGTATTGGTCCAATCTTTTCTCGTGTTCTAGTTTGATACATTTGATAGAATCCCTTGGGGGTTTGACTTCGCCTCCCTTGCTATAATTAGCTAATTATTCCTCTTTGCTTTTCTTATTTCGGTCTTAACCCTACCGGCCAATACCTTATAATAATCTCGGAGCTTGGAGTACTATTTACCTATTCTGAATAGTTCAGTAAGGTCTTAACAATAAGAGTGTATCATTACTCACTGCCATGCAGAACAGTGGTTCATATACAATATATGTAATATTCATTAGTATTCTATTCTATTTGAGGACTAAACAGTGTGGACTAGCAAATTTAGGATAGACTGCAAGAAGGTCCTTGAGCACTCCTGTTTCAATGTAGTAATAATTTCATAGTTCATGATAATATATATATATAGGGCTTTTTGTGCGAGAGATAGGAAACGTAGGACTAGGGTGTGTGTTCCTGGGGCTGGGATAGGGCATGTAGCTGAGAGGATAGACAGGGTTTTGTCAGGGGAGGGTACCAATCCAGTAGTGTGTCTTAGTGTGGGAGGAAACGATATAGGTAAGGTTAGGAGTGAGGAACTTTTCAAGAGGTATAGGGAGGCGCTGGGGAAGATTAGAGATAGGGGAGGGATCCCGATAATATGTGGTGTCTTGCCTAGAAGAGGGGTTGGTCGTGAATGGCTGTCCAGGGCAATTGCTATAAATTGCCGACTGGAAAAACATTGTGCAAACAATGGTTGGGCATTCATTGATAGCTGGCAACGACTACCTGTACAGTCGCGACGGAGTACACTTGTCTCGTGAGGGGGTAAAGACGTTGTCTGCATCCCTGGAGCGTGAAATTGTCACTCCGAAGGGGGGGTTTCGCCAGTTGAGAGAGGTCGGGGAAAGTGGGAGTCAAAAAACAAGCAGGTCCTGGGAAGTAAAATTAGTTGCTCAGGACAAGGGGTAAAACAGGACCAGGGAAGGGTAGGTTTAAATGTATACTATACAAACAGTAGGAGCGTTAGAAATAAAATAGACTTGCTGAGAGCGGTTGTATGTACCTAGAATGTAGACGTCATAGCAATCACCGAAACTTGGATGACTCTGGCGAGCAAATTTTTTTTATCAGAGTACCACATAGAAGGGTACAACCTTTTTCACAAGGACAGGGAAGGTAGGAAGGGGGGAGGGGTCGCACTCTTCGTCAAGGCTACATTAAAATGTTGTATTAATAATTCAATAAAGGGTGAAATAGGAACCGAGTCTGTGTGGGTAGAAATCACGGAAGGAAGAGAAAAACTAATTATGGGAGTGATTTACAGGCCCCCAAGTCTTGGCAAAGAAGCAGCTCAGCCCATATGGCAGGAAATGAGTAGGGCACCAAAATATAACAACCTATGCATTATGGGGGACTTCAACTTCAGAAATATTGACTGGGACAACATTGTAGGTGACTATGAATCTGAAGACTTCCTAGACGCAGTACAGGACAATTTTTTTAAACAACTAATTACAGAACCTACTAGAAGTGACAATTTATGAGACCTAGTATTAACAAATAAAGAAAATATTATCAGAGATATCACAGTAGTGGAAGAACTAGGTAACAGTGATCACAGAGAAATCAGGTTCACCCTAAATTGGGAAACGAAAAACAATGACAAAATGGTCAGAGTCCCAAACTTTCGGTTGGCGGATTATCAGGGGTTAAGAAGGTACCTAGGTGAGGTCACCTGGGAACAGTCACGTCAGTTCCCAGTAGGAAGGGGTGAGGTCATAGATGACAACAATTGATCATGACTAATATATTCACTAGTATACTACATAAAGCACAAGAACAAACTATACCATACAGAAAAATTAGGTCAAATATGAATGAGCCAAGGTGGATGGCCAGAAAACTTAAACATGACATAGGAATAAAGAAAGGAATATATAAGAAATTAAAGGGAGGGGAGGAGCAGCTCAGAAATAGGTATAATGAACTATCTAGGAATGTTAAGAAAAATGTAAGGATAGCAAAGAGAGACTATGAAATCAAAATAGCAAGAGAATCCAAGGCGAATCCCAAGGGATTTTTCCAGGTATATAGGACAAAGGTCAAGGACAAAGTTGGGCCTTTAAAGTCAGGGAGGGGAGAAGTGATAAATGGCAGTGAGAAATAAGCAAAGCATTGAACAGCTACTTCTTATCAGTTTTCACAGAAGAAATTTGGGATGAAATTCCAGAGGTGGAACTGATATTTAAGGGAAAGGAAGAAGAGAAATTAAAGAATATCACTATCAGAAAAGAGGATGTTCTTAAGAAGATAAATAAACTAAAGAAAACAAAATCCCCAGGGCCGGATGAAATATTCCCTCGAGTCTTGAAAGAGTGTAGGGAAGAGATTAGCGGACCCCTAGTAAACTTATTTACAAAATCATTAGACACTGGAGTTGTGCCAGACTTGTGGAAACAGGCAAATGTAGTACCCATATTAAAAAAGGGAGACAGAGCATCAGCGTCAAATTACCGGCCGATCAGTTTGACGTCATTAGTGGGGAAATTTCTTGAATCAATTATAGCAGATAGCATCCGATCGCATCTAAAGAAAAGCAAATTTATCTACGACTCTCAACATGGGTTTACAAAGGGAAAATCTTGTCTAACAAATCTGCTGACGTTTTTTAGGAAAGTCTTTGAGGTAGTAGATATGACGAAAATTACGATGTTATTTACTTAGACTTTAGCAAAGCATTTGACAGAGTACCGCATCAGAGGCTTCTGAGAAATATTAAGGCTCATGGTATTGTTACGAGTTGGGGATTTAGAATATAGTTATACGTCTACCCAGATCCCAACAGGTAACAACAATAAAAAAAAAACAAAGACAATCGGACTATAAAAGGGTAGACAAAGGATGCGAGTTTTCGTTGTATATAATAGAGTACCATAAATCCCTTAACAAAATATTCAGCTTATAAATTACCCTTAACCAAACTTAACCTAAACATTAACAGTATATACATATTAATACAACATAAACAATCTTGAAGCAAGTGGACGTGGGGGAGTTAATACAAAATACAAGTACTTAAGTGAGGAGCTGAGATGGCTGACGAGTAAGGCTGAGTATTGTAGAAGACGGTAGGTAGTCACTGCACGTAGGTTTAGAGGATAGATGATCCTGTGGTCACCTCCCAGAGCCAAGTGCTCTTTCCTCGAATTGGAGCTGACAAAGAAGACTTTGAGGAGGTGACGCAACAACCAGGATATGGAGAAGGGAAACCTCGGAGTGGTAACTAAGACGAGTCATACTCGTGTCTCGTCCCGAGATGGCGTTGCTCGTGGTGCTGGGTAGGTAGATCAGGACAATAGATGGCGTGGTTCGTAGTGCTGGGTGGAGGGGTTCGTAACAGTATCCAGGGGAAAGTTTTAAATTGGATAAAATCATGGCTCACCGATAGAACGCAGAGGGTCAGAGTAGATGGTGTTAAATCTGAGTGGGGCTGTGTAACCAGTGGGGTTCTCCAGGGGTCAGTACTAGGCCCACTCTTGTTCATAATCTACATAAACGATCTAGATACTGGGATCAGCAGTGACATAAGCAAGTTTGCGGATGACACCAAAATAGGGCGGCAAATTAATTCGGGGCAGGATGCTAATGCATTACAGGAGGATCTAAATAAACTGCAGGGGTGGTCTGAAAAATAGCAAATGAAATTCAACACCAGCAAGGGCAGCGTACTTAATATTGGAAGAACAAATACTTATAATGTATACAGCCTTAACAACATCAACCTAGAGAAGTCGACTTGTGAAAGAGACCTAGGGGTACTTGTAAGCCCGGACCTACGGCCTAGAAAACAGTGCGTTAATGTTCGAAATAAGGCAAACAGAGTATTGGGTTTTATATCTAGAAGTGTAAGTAACAAGAGTGCAGAGGTCTTTTTGCAACTATATCTTGCGCTAGTCAGGCCACACCTCGATTTTGCGGTTCAGTTCTGGTGCCCCTATTATAGAATGGATATAAATTTACTAGAGTCGGTGCAGCGAAGAATGACAAAAATGATTCCGGGACTTAGAAACCTTCCATATCAGGATAGGTTAAAGAAACTTAACTTGCATTCCCTAGAAAGACGAAGAGTGCGAGGAGATATGATAGAAGAATTTAAGTGGGTGAAAGGAATCAATAAAGGGGATATAGATAAAGTTCTTATAATATCCGAGCAGGATAGGACTCGGAGCAACGGATTCAAGTTGGATAAGTTTAGGTTTAGGAGGGGGATAGGAAGGAACTGGTTCACAAATAGGGTGGTGGACGAGTGGAACAAGCTTAGCAACTTTGTAGTAAGTGCGGGAACTCTGGAAAGTTTCAAAAAGAGGCTAGATAGATTCATGGATGATAGAGAGTGGTAGTAACTCTCAACAGGAGCTGCCATGCACAGGCCAACCGGCCTATTGCAGACTCCTTATTTTCTTATGTTCTTATATGCTGATAACCACAAGGAAAAAGAAAACACGAAGTGTTTTCTTTATATATATATATATATATATATATATATATATATATATATATATATATATATATATATATATATATATATATATATATATATATATATATATATATATATATATATATATATATATATATATATATATATATATATATATATATATATATATATGCAAGTAAATCACTGTAGGTGCGCGTGATCTAGGTATATGCTGATAACCACAAGGAAAGAAGAAAACACGAAGTTCCCAAGCGCTTTCGTGTAATTCACATCTTCAGGGGTGAGTACAGACTAGAGAGAGTAATACAAATCAAGGTGTATATATACAGAGGAGGGTGAGATCAGGTCCACAATGGTCAGGTATTAGGTAATGACCCTACTAATCTTTAAAAAGCGCGGCAGTGGTCGGTAGTCAGGTCAGAGTGTAAGTTGACCCAACCTTCTCACCTGGTTACAAATCTTCTTAATTACAAAATTTCCAGTTTGTACATACCATTACTCAAATTCATGTTGACTGCTTCGGTATGTTTAATGAGACTAGATTCTATAATGTTCCTACTGTCAATTAAATTACAAGATAATATTGAGGAGGCAATATCCTAGTCAATGCAATGCTTATTATCCCTCGAATGAACAAACAGAGCATTGGATTCCTGGCCTGTCCTAACACTATATTTAAGTAAACAATGTGTTTTTGCTCGTAACAAGGCTAATAAAGTACTTGGGTTCATACAAAGGAGTGTTAGTTACAAGACTAGCGAGGTCATCTTAAGATTATATCTTGCGCTTGTGAGACCTGACTTGGATTACGCAGTTCAATTCTGGTCACCTTATTACAGAATGGATATAGAATCCTTGGAAAGAATCCAGAGGAGAATGGCAAGACTAATCCCTGGCATTAGGAACCTTGAGTACAGAGACAGGTTAAAGCGTCTTAATTTGCACTCCCTCGAGAGATGTAGATCGAGGGGCGATATGATAGAGGTGTATAAATGGAAGTCAGGGCTAAGAAAAGGGGACATTACAAAGGTACTCAAACTATCCAACCAGGAGCGAACTCGTAACAATGGTTTTAAATTAGACAAATTTAGATTTAGGCGCGAAATTGGTAAACACTGGTTTGGAAACAGAGTAGTGGATGAATGGTACAAGTTACCAAATATCATCATTAACTCGAATACGCTGGATAGCTTCAAACATAGGTTGGATGCTTATATGAGCAATAGGGGTTGGGTGTAAATGGGAATGCCCAGTATGGGCCAATAGGCCCGCTGCAGTTTCCTCCATTCTTATGTTCTTATGTTCTTATATATATATATATATATATATATATATATATATATATATATATATATATATATATATATATATATATATATATATATATATATATATAATCAACGACCTCACCAACGTAGTAAGTCGAGGGTTCGAATCCTTGCTGGTGAGGTCGTTGATTATATGTTCAAAGTCACCGTGTTATATGGACTAAAAATGAAGTACTGTATATATATATATATATATATATATATATATATATATATATATATATATATATATATATATATATATATATATATATATATATATATATATATATATATATATATATATATATATATAACCTAAGTGATAAAGGTAGTCCCCATTAGAGGTTTACGGCGCCCTAAGCTCGTTGAACAGGCTTTGTGTGAAATATAACAGAGTCTAGGACTGCTTTTTAATATCCTGGTGGTCCAGAGGTAGCATTCCCCTGTCACAGTCATGGGCCGTGGGTTCGAATCCTGGCGGGGTGAGGTGTATATATATATATATATATATATATATATATATATATATATATATATATATATATATATATATATATATATATATATATATATATATATATATATATATATATATATATATATACAGGGAGTCTCGCCTTACGAACGCCCACCGATATGAACAAGGTTAAACTATAGATTTACAGTATTTTAGTTACTCTATGACTATTTTTTCATTTACTGTATTTTGGCATTATATTTATTATTTTCACTTAAATTAAGTGATTTTAGATGTGTATAAGGACTTAGGCTTTGATTTATTGGGATTTTAAACATTGTTTTGTAAGTACGGTATCCGCGTAACATGTGTTTCGACTTAAGTAAATTTTCGACTTAAGAACGTCCTCAGAAACGGAACACTTTTTGCCTTCAATCATGCACTTACATGGAATAATGAGTTAGTAACAATTTTTGACCTTCATTCAGGCAGCATAGTGGCCATAGGTAACCTGCCTGGGACGTTGTTGTGGGGGTGGTTGGTGGCGACCATAGGGCGGAAGACAGCAATGATGTTACTCGTACTGCCCTACACACTCGCCTGGTGCCTGGTGGCCCTCGCAGTCAACCCTACCATGTTGCTCGCTGGCAGGTGAGTTTCCTTGTCTGGGCCTACTACCTTCAACAGAAGACTACAAGCGAAGATATAAAATGCTATATTTTCAATATTTATTCGATTCATCTGCAGTATGGGTACAAAGCAACTCACACAAATTTTATATTTTTTCTTTTAAACATACTGGTTTTCTGCTCATCTTTCTTTATTTGATGAGAGTTCTATATAGATGTTGTTCCAGGGTCGTCCATGGCATCTGTATTGGGGCAACGTTTGTGTCAGCAAGTACATATGTTATTGAGCTACCAGACACATCTATCCGAGGGGCCGTAGCCACCATCCCAAACGTAGGGCTCAGTCTTGGCTTCATCATAACTCCCTCACTGGGTCTGGTCTTGCGATGGTATGAGATAGCATTTGTAGGTTTAGCGATCATTGTAGCCCATACAATAGTAATGGCTTTCCTGCCGGAGAGCCCATCTTTCCTCGCTATTAAAGGACAGGAGAAGAAGGCAAAGCAGATTTTGCTTAAGCTTCGAGGCCCAAGTGCTAACGTGGATGAGGAGTTACAAACCCTCTGTGAGGAAAACAAAGAAAAGGCAAAGGAGCCACTTGTAAAGGTTCTCCAGGAACCCATCATCCAAAGGTCAGTTGGAATTGTGGTCACACTCTTTTTCGTCCAAAACTTCTGTGGTCTGATGGTATTTTCCGTAAACATGACACGCATATTCCTGGAGGCTGGTTCCACGATGAGTGAACATGTGGCCAGCATCCTGGTCTTTCTGGTCCAGGCAGCAGGAACTATCCTGGCCTGCATCTACCTGGATCGCTTCGGCCGTCGGATCTGCTTGGTGTTCTCTCTCGCGGTCATGACGATCTGCTTAGTGACCATGGGAGTGTATCACTACTTTCAAGATGCCACCATGTTTGAGACTGACTCTATAGTGAAGAACATCACAGGAGTGGTAACAAATGACGATATGGACGAGAGGTAAGTAAGACATAAGTAGCAGCACGCAATAAAGAAATTATTATTTTGTGTCACAGATCATGAATGCATTCTATAATCTGAAACATCCAATGCTTATCCTATAACTACGGAACATGAACCTTAGAACTCTCGTCAGCTGTATATTGTGACTTGTAAGCTTATCTTTTGGCAGGTCTGCCCCAACTTCCTATTACACCTGGGTGCCACTATTGTGCCTCATGGTGTACATGTTCACCTCCAGCTGCGGTGCCGGCCCGGTTCCCGCACTCCTCAATGCTGAGTACTTCCCCACGGCAGTGCGAGCACAGGTAAGCTCTAAGGAATTCCCTTCTAGTTGTTTACAGTAGTAAAATTCAAGGTGGGCTCATTCAGTGGAATGCCTAGCTAAACTTACCATTTGCCACAATAAGTGGTGGCCATACTGGAGGAAGAAGGTCGGTGGCTTAACGTAATTGTTCTTGGTAGTATTATTCGGGCTCTCCTAAGGCCTGACCTTGTTCTTGCTTCCATCATTTGTTTCTGTGTGTACACCACAATGCAGTGAATAATTATAGGTACTGTACCTCTTTTGTATTCATTCTGTTTTGAGTTTACAGTTTCCAACATTTAAATGATTTTAAATGTCTCTACGAGGTATGACCTGTTGTATCTGAGCTGTAGAGTTGGCAGTCCTAAGACTACCCGGATAATCAAGATATCGCATTTCAAGAATACTGTAGGCCTAGTCATTGTGTCGCACTTTTAGTAGAGAAATTGTATTTTTATAGTTGTGGTCTTCATGTATGTAATCGGTAGCCCAGGTGAAACTGTACAAGTGATTTGAAGATAATGAAAAAGCCATCGTTAATCTACAGCACTATATATTAAAGGCACAATTTAAGGTTTCACGAGTTTGAATGACTTTCTTCACTGCTCCATTATTTTTTGTGGTTGGTGTATCATGACATGTAGATCCCTTCCCTACGTTAGGTGCTATAAAAATATTATCCACAGGTTAATTAATATGGGTTATGGTGTCTTGCACTTTATTATTCTCCGTTAAAATAATTTATTTGCCCTACAGCCATTTGGAAGGCCATGGGGATCATTTTGCACAATTGTAATGTTTTCCAAATATTTTAACCACAACCCGCGATTCTTTGTACTATCTGCAAACTTGACTATAATGGAGAATTGTGGTAACCCATAGCAGTAAAGCATATTGTTCATCACTCTGTATTTCACAGTAAAACAATACCATGTAGCTATTACAGAATTACTGTAATGCTGTACAGGAGTTAAGGTTATGAAAATGTGTCCCAGAAAATTTAAAGAATTAAATGGTGTTCTAAAAAAGAATTGAGATAGCTTTCACTCTGCTCTGAATATTATTTCTTCAGTTTTGTTTGTATGTTAAAATTCATTCACAATCATTTTTGCAGCCAGGTATTATGTAGGTATCAAAGAGGTCAGCATATTTCTGCATTAGTGTAGTGAAATTGAATTGATTTTCTTAATTTAATATCAAAACTGAATTTTTTTTGTTCCAAAATATATCTTATTAGGTGACATAGATTAGTGTAATAGAATTAGTTTAAGTATCCATACAAAATGTAAGAGAATGTGTTGTAAAGTGATGACCTCGGCAAATATATTTAAAAGTTTGAATATTCATGTTAATGATGATTGTTAAGTGATCTAAAGTATTGTATGGAGATGATTAATGATTGTTGATCACTTTGAAATGATTTGTGATTCTTAAAAGGGTGTAACTAATTGAAAATTTATTAAAGTAGTTTAATATCTTATGGAATGTTTCGTTTGTAAGTTATTGCTATACATACAGTATGTCATTTTCTCATTTGATATGTAATGTTATCTTTTTAAATGTTAATGGAAAGATAGATAATGATTGTAGGTCATGATGATATCAATAGCTACGTATAAATAATTGAAAATACTTCATAAATTATGAGATACAGAGAGTAAATAGTTGGTCTGAAATTGTGTGTAGAATATCCTACCACATCACCATGTGGTAGGATATTATAGAAGATCCACGAAGAAAATTTAAGGGTTGCAAACTTTTAAATAAGTAGCAGAAAATTATACAGTGAAGAAATGTAGTGAAATATATGACATAAATTATTATTATATGTGAACCGAAACTTTAACCAGTGAACGGACACGAAATAGAAGGAGAGTGAGCTGGGTTAACAGCCATTATATGATCAAAGTTCGTACAGGGCAGACGTCGTGTTAGGTCTGTTTCTGGAAGATATATATATATATATATATATATATATATATATATATATATATATATATATATATATATATATATATATATATATATATATATATATATATATATATGGAGAGAGAGAGAGAGATGCGTAAGAAATACCACAGGAGATGGTAAGATACATAAATTCTTGAGTTACTTAAAAGTGATAAAATGAAGGGTTAAATTGTTAACTCTTTATTATATCACTGATGAATATTATTATTGTTAATTCACATCTGTAGGGGTGAGTACAGACTAAGGAGAATTACAAAACAAGGTGTATATATACAGAGGAGGGTGAGATCAGGTCAACAATAGTCAGGTATTAGGTAATGACCCTACTAATCTTTAAATAGCACCGCAACGGTCGGTAGTCAGGTCAGAGGGTGAGGTGACCCAACCTTCTCACCTGGTTACAAATCTTCTTAATTACAAAATTGTCCAGTTTGTACATGCCTATAATCAAATTCATGTTGAATGCTTCGGTATGTTTAATGAGACTAGATTATATGATGTTCCTACTGTCAATTGAATTACAAGGTAATATTGAGGAGGCATTATCCCAGTCAATGCAATGCTTGTTATCCCTCAAATGAACAAACAGAGCATTGGATTCCTGGCCTGTCCTAACACTATATTTATGTTGTTTAAGTCTAGTTACAAGATCTTTACCTGTTTGGCCTAAGTAAAACATATTACATTCCTCGCGGTCGGACCACGTAGGTGGGTAGACGTGTGCCCGGTGCTCCTGCTGTCCTCACAAAGGCCTCCTTTGTTCCTACCCCCAACGCCGGCTCTCTGCCAGGCGATGGGGGGGCGGCGTCGTAAACGCCCCACGAGAGGCGTCCCCTCCTCTCTCATGGATACAGACATTTCTGAGACGGATAATCATAGTGCATCCCACATCTTGCAGGAGTCAGACCTTAGTGATAGTCACAGTAACAGTAATGTTTCTATGGGAAATACTTGCCTGAGTTGCAACACCACGGCCAAGGGCAGTGAGCCTCGCCTCGCCTCCCTCCCCGTCTCCCAAACAACCAAGTAAATTGCATCTGCAGTTCCCCAAGGACTCACTGAAAACCGTTGAGGACCGGTTAAATTGGACAACAAAGTATTGGAAACAACACGGTCTCACCATTCAATTCAGAAAAGGTAAGAACCGTAACTTTATCAAGTGTCAGACACCCGAAGTCTATGAAATGCTAAGTACTGATGGCTATGACGGGGTTGTGCTGATCCCCTCCTGCTGACGCGGAGGAATGCTGCCATATCCTATTTAAGCAATTCCCCCTGTACGCTGAAGTCGAAGATGCTCGTCACTTTAATCCACGTATACTCAGCATACGTTGACACTACCGAGGGAAGACCCCACAAGCAGCTGTCATAGTTAAATGGAAGGGGAGGGAGTGCCCAACTACTGTTGATGCCCACCCAGACCTACCTCCACTGTATGCTGAGCCATATCACCCCGGGCCTGCTTTTTGTGTCATTTGCTCCCATTGGGGTCACACCTGCACCGCCTGCTGCCAACATGATCGTCCCAGATGTCGCTTCTGTTCACGTAACCATGACTCCTCCGTCTGTGCCCAAAAAATCAAAGACCACTTTAATGGGGGTGGTGTGGCCTATGTTGTTGACCCCAGGTGTTGTAATTGTAGTGGCTGGCACAATGGTGACTCATGACAATGCCGCCAAATGTCCGTCCATCCCAGGAGAAAAGCCTCCCCGGAGGCTGCATCCATCTCAACCTTTCCCCCAGCCTACCGAGCCTTCTTCAACAGCACCTGCCCCTGCCTGACCTCACCTGGCTGCAACGCAGCAGTCCCAGCCGTCTCCTAACTCAACTACAACTGGGCCTCTTCCCCGTCTCTACTCACACGCTGTTGGACCTTGTGCCCCCACCGGTGCCCCCCTCCACAACCCCCCTCTGGTGACAGACACAGATCATATCCCTCTTACACGAATTTACCAACTGTATTGAAAGACTCTTTGATACACTCTGTACCTCCATCTCCAACCTACACGGACTGCTCCTACTTCCAGCTGCTACCCAGTTACCCCCCTCTTCTGGTCTGACTCAACCAGGTAGCCCCCCTGTGTGCCCCTCATACTCACGGCCTACTCAACAGCCGCCTGGCACCACTGCCGGTGTCCACACGGAGCCTGCCTCCGTCCAGACAGAGCCAGCACTGGCTCCCCCCATCCACCCACCACGTGCTCATGGACCCGAGGACACCGAGGGGGCCGGGGGCCCCCTGTCCTCCTCCATCGGTGTGCCTGCACCTGGGGCCCATCCACTCCAGTTCTCCACATCAATTCACCACCATGCGGACATGCTAGTGGACTACGTATCTACCCCAAGAAGGACGTCCCCTACCAACCTCTCGACGTTCCCCTTGAAGCCGACACTACCGACGTACACGCCATCACAATCACACTAAAAGGTATGTCCCTCAATACTGTCAATACCTATGGCTATGGCCTGGCACTTGACATTATTAGGGACCTGCCACGCTTTGCCATAAACAGATAAATTGTACCAGGATATTTCCTCACATTCTGTCACTTTATGTCACTTGCTGACAAAACCCCTGACCCTTCATGCTTTTACGCCCTAATGCATGATCATAAAGGCAAGCATGAACTCTGCTTGCTTCCCAGATGGGCACGGTAAACGCTCCTGCGCTTCACCTTGCACAGGATGTAAGGGGGTGCCCAATAAACTAGCTCCTCCGGGGCACTCTAATCTGACTCTGACCTATATGTACTGTCAATGAATATGATGTACTCTTTGTGTACGAACCTCTGCTCTGCGTGGAAGTGAACAGTGGCATTACCCACATGAATCTGATCTATGTATACATGTATACAGGTATATGTAGGTATGTGTATGTGTGTGTGTATGCATATGCATATGTATGCACATATGTACATATGTATGTATAATTATGCTGTCAATGAATACGATGTATTTCTTTGTGTATGAACCTCTGTCCTGCGTGGCAGAGAAGTGTCAGGACCTCCTGACTGAATTACTCTGAATAGGCAAACTGTACTTCAGGATTTGTCGATAAATTTGCTAAACTAACTAAAACTGAACATAATGTCATTTTCAGGGGGTTAGGGTTGCAGTTGTTGAATAGAGCAGCTGTGCATTGTCCAAGAGGTTCTCAAGTTTATTTCGAATAACTAAGTGGATGAACACTAGGTGGAAACATGAAATAGGACTATTGTACCAGTTAAGTGTAATATTAACATTAAATGAGAAGTGAAAGAACTTCACTAGTGAATATTGGTGAAATTTAAGAGAATAGAAGTACAGTATTGTGTGTGTGCCGAGTGAGATGTTATCACTATATTCGCCATATTATTATGTGTATTAATTAGAATTGGAAAATAGTGTATATCATAAGTTTGTGTTCTTAATAGAAAAATTTGTGTTATTGATTTCCATATGAATTAATTTTTCTAAATAATTATGTAGTATACTGTATGTACATTTAATCCGAGTATGTATTCAGTTAATCCCATCCCATCTTTCCTTTGAGTTTAGATAAGGTAACTCAAGATTAAAACATTGTTTTGCTGGTGCTACTATAAACTTACCAATTGTCTACCGCTCAAATCATTACCTTCATTACCTTGTCTGATTAACAAAAAACAAAAACAAGATGTAGACTCAAATAATCTGATAGTGTATAAGTCACGATACTGATAACTGCTGGTGTGATATTCATAGTACCATACTTAGTGGCAAAGCAGGGTAATATCAGTCGTTGTCGCTACACTGATGGCATAGAAGTTTTGAACACCAGTTTTTTATTTTATCCCCAAGCTTCTGTTAACTGCTAAGCATGATATTTCTTCAAATTAATGGTTACTGGAATTAGTATCTTAAATTCTAGAATTACTGCAAAAAATGGTATAATTTAGCATATTATTTTTTATATTCGATAAAATTCAGTATATAATTGTTTCACTTAAGCCAACGTTTTAAAATATTCAGTTAAAGATGATACCCAGTCTCTTACACATAACTTACTATATTAAAATTAATTTAATTGTCATTAATATTACAGCTATCTGGTTTGTGTATGGTGCTGGGCAGTATGCTCAACTTTGCGGCACTGCAATTGTTTACACCCATGCAAGTTGCCCTCACCACTGCTGGCCTGTACTGGTTTTATGCTGCTATCTCCATCTTTGGTATTTTCTTCACCCTCATCTGTGTCAGGGAGACAAAGGGCAAAGCTGTTGGGTAAAGGCTGAGCTGCCAATATCCAGGATGGTCTGGTGTTGTACTGTTCATATCATGTTTAACATTAGTTTGGCAGATGTTCCTCGAGTGTTTAAATGTGACTAAGATCTTTCCTGTAGAAAAAAAGTCAATCTGCTCAGTAATTGAATAATCAAGGCCAAGGTTAGAAAATTTTTTGTCTCAAGGAGAATTAACGAAATTAATGTACAGTACAGTGTATAAAAAGAAGGAGGTTAGTGATTGTCCATTTGTCTGTCTATACAGTACAGTATGCGTATCTGTGTTGTCATAAATTTTCTAAACCCTTTTTTAAATTCAGTATGAAACATGGCAAGATTATTTCCTTAATAAAATTTCAAGGAATTGTTCTTGGAAAATCTGTGATCTTTTGTGAGTTTCCTGTAGTGGACAAAACACTCAAAATTTAATTAATTTTGGAAAACAGTTTTCCCTTTGTTTAGATGTGGAGGAGAAATTTTAATCACATGCATGAAATGAATGAAGTAAGCTTTTGGCTGAAATTTAGAGAAATGTTAAAATGAAAGCCGGTTGATAGGTATAGTATACATACAATGATGGTTAGTTAAGTATTTTGCTTAAGGGGTACTGTATACAGTATATATATTTTAAAGATTATTGTAGTTGTTTTATTTTATTTGACTTGGATCAAGAGCCAGTTATGTCCATACCTGGTATTTATTGTTACCAACAGTTAGCACTGGTAACAGCATTAATAAAGCTATAATTTCAATAATATCTTGTGGGCTTTCAGCATGCGTGAAAATACAGTAGAGTACAGTATATTGTAACTATACCATATTATTATATACTCGTATATCTACTGTACAGTATGTGAAATATCAAGTATACAATAATGGACAGTAGGCATATTGTGTATGATGTCCTGTACTGCATATCTGATGTTTTATTCACAAATACTTTAGTTATATTTTATACATATAGATAATTTACCATTAATACAGTATTTCATATAATATATGTCTTTTTATGTTCAAATTTTTGTGGTATAAGTGAAAAAGTCATCCTTGAACATTTTGGCTCCCATCTTACAACATCCAAGACTGCAAGGAGACACTGGAAATGTTGCTGAGAGGGTCTACATGTAGTGTTGGCTTGGTATTCATATAAATGATTCAGTTGCTAGCAGCCTGACATGAAATATTGAAGAATCAAAAGTAGTCACAGGAAGTAGCTTTAGTCGGTAGCATTAATAAGAGGCTCCTGTTAGTTGCATTAGCAAAGACATTTAATAAGTACACTACTTTAGCTTTAATTACTAGCATCAACAAGGACCTTCTACAAATAACCTCATAGGAGAAAATGGACATAGCATAAACAAATCAGAGAAGGAGCAGACGTGAAGAAACACTAGAACTCAGGTCTCCTAACCTCAAACAAAATATGAGAAAAATAATTGATACAGTAATAAGAATTAATAACAAGCAGCATCAAAGAGCTGTCAGTTAATCATCTAATATACTATAGGACTAGCCGTGTGTCTGTCTGTTCTGGCCAGCCGAAACGGCACAATCGTTTTTCATCAAACTTCGTGGAAAAATCGCAAAAAAATCGTAGAGTGGAACAAACCTGGTCCCATGTCGATGGTTTCTTTAGGAACACATTAATTAACGATTTTATTTACGCTGGCAACAGATGTGGCTGTAGCTGTCAGCCGGCCGGACGATTGCAGTTATCGTACGGCTCCCTCCTCTTCCCCCCCACTTTTTCTCTTAGCCTACTTTTTTTTTTAATGTTGTTTGGATTAGTAAAGGAAGGGAGATGAGTAAATAGAAGAAAGAAGGGGAAACAGACAATAGTTAGAGATAACAGGTGGGGATGAGCTGAGTTTCATCATGCGTCTGGATGCGCAGTTTCAACTTTACCAGAGCATTTTCGGACCTTACGAGGCTACAGTGTGTACTTATTTTCTCCTTATGGCGAATCTTTCTTTAACTAATTATTCTAATCTTTATTCTATTCCTTCCTATAGTATATTAGTTATTGTAAGTATCACGACCACGACCATGATTATAACAACCACGACCATGATCATAACCACGACCATGATTATAACAACCACGACTATGATTATAACAAACACGACTATGATTAATTGATTATAACAAACACGACCATGATTATGAAAACCACGACTATGATTATAACAAACACGACCATGATTATAACAACCATGTCTATGATTATAACCACGACTATGATCATAATAACCACGACCATGATTATAACAACCACGACCATGATTATAACAACTACGACCATGATTATAACAACTACGACCATGATTATAACACCTACGACTATGATCATAACCACGACCATGATAATAACAACCACGACCATGATTATAACAACCACGACCATGATTATAACAACCAAGACCATGAGTATAACATCCATGACCATGATTTTAACAACCACGAACATGATTATAACAACCACAACCATGATTATAACAACCACGACTATGATTATGACAACCACGACCATGATCAAAACCACGACCATGATTATAACAACCACAACCATGATTATAACAACCACAACCATGATTATAACAACCACGACCATGATTATAACAACCACGACTATGATTATAACAGACCACGACTATGATTATAACAACCACGACCATGATTATAACAACCACGACTATGATTATAACAACCACGACCATGATTATAACAACCACGACCATGATTATAACAACCACGACCATGATTATCTAATCTCTAACATACTATAGGAAATTATTTGTATAAGACCGATATAGCTACAGAAAAATAAAATATTTACATGTTGTTGTGTATTCTTATTACTGTTTGACTGCTGTTCGCAGGAAACCGATTTATTAACAAGTGTTCATTGCAAGTGCACCGACGTTGAATACAGGCGCGAGCGCACTTCTCCAAATATTCCCTCCATTACGAACTGGGCACGAAGGGCCCACGGTCACTTGTTCCAACTATAGTGGGGTCGGAAGCACCATGGTTTGTTACAACTTTAGTGAGAAGCGATTTCTCAATGTGGGCATATAGATTTTGACTCGAGGAACACGAATCCGAAGGTGGCCAAAAATTTTTACCCCAAATAAGATCACCAATTTGACCGTTAGAGATCATATTATATCATAACTTGAAATAGCAATGGATGGCGCCACAAAGACCATATTAATGTCAAATGAAAGCATTTTTGTTTAGAGGTATTAAGTCGTGGGGTAAACCATGTAACCCCCAGAAGTCATTTAATGCTAACCAAAGTTTAAAAATACAACATATGGAATGATGAATAAAATATATCTGTAGGTCTGAAGAATGTCCAAAATATGGTGGACGCAGTTCTGCTCAAAAGAAATCCATTTCAAGAAGGAGAAACAGAAATGGTGTAATTTTGTGGACGGTTTGCCTTTCAACATCGTCAGTTAAAGCAGTGAAAGCAATTAACAAGCTTGGTCAGGCACAGCATGAAAACTTAAAGATGTCTGGCCTGATGGATCCAATTAAGAAAAAAGGTCAGACAAGGAAGTCAGTAGCTATGAAGAAACTGCCTCACGTCAAGGATCATGCCTCACTGTATGGCCAACTTTTTGTCTCGTTGCACACGTGCTAAGGAAATTTTCCTCTTTTCTTCAAGTATGAGTTTGCAAACTGTCCTCCTGCAATGAAGATGACAACAGAAAAGGCTGCACTGTTCCATTGCATCGTTGAAGAGAGACCTTCTGACAAAGAAGTGGGTTCAGTGGAGGAAATAAATGAGGTCCTCCCACCTGCAAGCAACAATATTGTAGTCATCGATGGTGGGTTCCTTATCCATACTTTGCAGCCAAAGCCATCATATTCAAAATTTTATGATTATGTTTGTTCTGTATTTTGTCCTCGCCTGCGTGCTGTACTGAAGATCTGCGATCGTCTTGACCTGGTATGGGATCGATACATCCTACAAAGCATCAAAGGCAACACACGAAACAGTAGAGTCCATAGAGCTGGTGAAAGAACTTGACGAGTCGGTGGATCGGCAAAGATTCCTCAAGGTCAGAAAAAATGGGAAAAGTTTCTGGCAGACTCGACTGACAAACGAAGCAGTTAAAAGTTAATACTATCCCAGCAACAAGGAATTATATTTAACTTCATATGACTGTGTTGTGCATTTGGGGCATGGAAATAATATGCCAGAGACTGGTAATCACGAAGAAGCTGACTCGAGAATTGTTGTGCATCTTGCCCATGCCCTTTAGGATCGAAACTCAGTTCTCGTTCGGACAGGAGATACAAACATTTTAATCATACTCTTAGGGTAGTTCCAACGTCTACAGTCAGCAAATCCTAGCAGTGAACTGTGGATCTCTTTGGTAGTGGGAAACATCAGAAGTTGTTACATGTTAACCGCCTCTATCAACACCTTGGTCCAGAACGCTGCCTTGCACTACTAACGTTTCACGCCATTTCAGGGTGTGATACTTTAAATGAATTCAAGAATAAAGGTAAACGTGTTTGGTGTAAAACCTGTCTAAGGCACCCAAAAGTTACAGAAACACTTGTGAAAGTTTTCAACTCCCCTTTCCAGCCTTTGAATGATGATAAATTGGCTACTATTGAGTCATTTATATGTCGGTAACCTTTATAACCCGAACTCAACTACTGTTGTGGTTGATACTCTCAGGATGAACATGTTCTGTTAGAAGAGCCAGTATGTCCAGCGTAATCCACCAACCCAAAACACACTTCGTCTGCATCTTAGACAGACCCTATACCAGGCATCTATCTGGGCTGTGAGTCACCATGCGAATCTCCCAGATGAAGATCCATGTTCCTTCAGCTGGCAAGAAGATGACAATAGTCACATGCCTGTGTGTACATCTCTAGCCATTGCCTCTCAAGTATTTCACCTCACTATACAATGTGGCTGCCGCAAGAAGTGTAGTGTCGTTGCTCATGTATGAGGGAAAATTTTGACTGAAGACATTTGTGCAAATGTTCTTGTTTGTAAGTGATTTGTGCAAGGTGCATAAAGGAGGATAATATAATATTTGAACTATATAATATATTTGGCACATTGAACTGATTAAGTTTCTTCATTCACAAAAGTAATACGTATGTTTTGTTAAGCAATTTAATGGAATTACTGTAGGTGAAAGTTTTGGCTGAGAATCCCATCTCATTTACCCAAACTGACCTGAAATATTTATTTTAATTACTTTTTCTTTAATTATAATAATAACGTACCTGTAGCTTTCTGATAAAGGTTTGAATGAATTATATATCTCATTAATTGTAAAGAATAATATTACAACTCTGTATTAACTCGGTTCATTATATTAATTTTTTGATGATTTTGTGTTTCTGAAATATAGTTTAATTTACGAATCTTATGTTTGACGACACCACGCAATACCTCGAAATAAAAATGTATTTTTTTTTGATAAGAGCTCTCATATGACACCAATATGGTCTTTGTAGTACCTTCAGTTGCTGTTTCAGGTTAATACATTGAATGACCTCTAAAGGTCACGTTGGTGACCTTATTTGGGGTCAGATTTGGGGGCACCTTCGAATTAGTATTCCTTGAGACAAAACTGTCAATTCTTACTCTGCGGCTTCGTCTCCAATACTAGCACCTATTCCAATTAAAGATTTGAAGAGAAAACTAACTATCCATTTACTGCTGCTATGGATGTACTATACTACCACAAACAGCCAACCACCTTTACATACCGTCTGTGTATCTTTTTGTTTGTCAATATTAATTGCCTATTATCTACAATATGCAAGCATTTTTTTTCTTGCATCCTTTATGTATTCATTTAAAAAAAATGTTTTTCTCAAATAAAACTCACTCTTTTATTTTATTGTTTTAAATGAGAAATAGTGAATCATTTTGTGTAATTTTATTTTATAACAATAATTAAAAAATAAAAGGTTTTATTATTCCTTTTCTATTCTTTTAGTTTCTTATTTATTTCTTTACTTTCGTTTACTTTTTATATTTCATTTACTTACTTTTACTCTTTCTTTATTATCCGATTTTCTTTTCTTCTGTATTTGTTACTCACACACCCCCACCCACCAAGGGGAGACTGGGGGAGACTGAATAGCTGGGGATTAAGATACAACACTTAACAGAGGGGAAATATGCAATAATTATTTCTTAGGACACACTGTATTACTGCATACCACAAAAGACACTTAGAAAGGACAATACTCTACTCCATACACAAGGGAATTAAGAAGTAATCATAACGGTTCTTCGTTTATTAACGACCTTAATCAAAATGAACAGTTACACTTCAACAATAACCTATCTTCCTAGCTAGCTAACCAGGGGTCACATGAATCACCTAAAAGGTACTCACATTATACCCACACGCACCCACACTTCACTCTCTCCAAAAACAAACTGTTTTTCAAACTGTGCTGCCCACAAAGGGAGCTGAGGGACGCTACTTCTTCATGGCGTCACGTCTCGCAGGTTTTCTTGTTGGGTCAGGCCTAAAGCATTCACCCTCACAGGTCCTTACCATTGGCTTGAGCCCTCAGGCGGGAAACACTCATGACATTGTTACAATATTAAGGGATCCCATGTTCAATCTTATGGTCAAACTAACAAAGTGCTCCATTATTGATGTAACTGCTTCACAAAGTCTACCTGAGAAATACAGTATGATCCCTGTTTGCCATAATATTTTGTACAGAACGTTTTTGGGTTTGAGACCTTTCCAGTTATTTCTACGAATTTTCTTACCCTAGAAAAATTGCACATCTATGGAATTTTCCTGTCACTGGTGAATGTTTCCGCATTTGGCAGACATCATTGCTACGGAGACTTAACTGCAGTCAGGTAGACACAGAGCTTTATGACCAATGACCAATAAATAAAATACACTAATGTATACTGTACTCACCACCAGATGGCGTCAACGTTAGCTGCCTTTACCCTGTACCATTTACTGTAGCAGGTGTTGCTAACTGTCACTCTCCTCTCCCTCCATGAAGGAGGGATTGTACATGCACTGTATATTGTACAATGTACATACACCCTCTACACCAAGGGTGGAAAAACTTTTGGGGTCAGAGTGCAAGATTGAATTTACAAGAGGTCTTTGGGAGCTAAATATTATTTTCAATGTTAATGATAAACTGTGCAGATTTAATGGGTAAGACCACTGCCCTGGGACATCATCCCAGAGAAAAGAAAAACAAAAACACTGAATTCGACTATGGTCGCGGGCCATTCTGAGACCCTTGGCGAGCCGAAAGAGACCTATGGGCTCATGCCTACAATAGTCATACTGTCCACTCTGCCATGTACAGTACTGTATGTACCGTACCGTACTTTTACACTTACTGAATGTTCAGTATAGTATACGTAATAGTAATCACTTTTGACATCTTAAAATGCTTTAACGGTGCAACACAATTGTATGCTAGAACAGCATTGAGCGAGCGAACAAGCTTGTATAATGGCAACAGACAATGAACTAAGAGTGTCATGATGCTAGAGTTTGAGGAGATAGGCTGTGAGATACAGCAGCCAATCATAGAGATCCATGCCGTCACAGGACAGTAGTAGCCAATCGTAGCTCACGAGCATTGTGAGCCTATCCACCTACGTGTCGGCACATACTGCAATCGCTCGGAAATTCATGTGAAGACCCGGAAACATATATCCCATATGTATAGGCTGTCAGAACCACCACCCTCACCCAGTCAGCCCACCAGCGGTACAGTCAATCACGGCCTACCTTGAATGCTGGCAGTTGTCAAGTCACACATTTCTAAGAAAAATATTCTGCCTTACATTAAAGAATAATTTATTTACATGTTCACAGAGTGTTTCAGAGAAAAAATTCTCTCTGTCTTTTCAGTTTTCATTTTTTTTAGACTTTTTTTAGATTGCCCCTGAGGGGGCTAGTTTATTGGGCACCCCCTTACATCCTGTGCGCCCATCTGGGAAGCATGCAGAGTTCATGCTTGCCTTTATGACTAATGCGTTAAGGGCGTAAAAACCTGAAGGGTTATGGGTTTTGCCAGCAAGTTACATAAAGTGACAGAATGATGAGTGTGTGGGGGGAAAGATCCCAGTACATTTCATCTGTTTATGGCAAAGTGTGGCAAGTCCCTAATAATGTCAAGTGCCAGGCCTGTCACTAGGAGGAGGGATATCTGGTCAGGGAGGGAAGAGGTGTTGGTAACGGCTGAGGACCTGTAGGAGGAGGTCATAGGGCAAGTGAGGATGTAGTGAGAGAGGGTGTGAGAGTCGGGTTGACCACAAAGTTTACAAACAGTGTGGCCAGGCTTAGGGTCAGTTTTCATTAATCAAATGTCTCTCTCTCTCTCTCTCTCTCTCTCTCTCTCTCTCTCTCTCTCTCTCTCTCTCTCTCTCTTGTTAGGTGAGGTTAGGTTAAAAATGTGCGACTTGACAACGGTCAGCGCACAAGGTGGGCCGTGTTAATGTGTACCACTGACTGGGTGAGGGTGGTGGTGCTGAGGGCGTATACATTTGGGAAATATGCTGCCGGGAAGAGAAAGAATTTTCTCAGAATTTTTCAGAATGCTAAAATTTAATATTCCACGTAATGGAAAGTTCTGGGGATCAAAGATTCAGGCAAACAGGGTTATTACATTAGTCTCAGATGGTTTATGGATATGTTCATATATAAACTGGGTTTAATCTTTAAACAAAAAATCTACGTTTTTACCCATTGGCTTATTTAAGAGAAAAGTCATAATTCTTCCCTGAATAACTCCAAACACTGTGTAATAATTTTACAGTTTGAACCAGTTGTTCGCCCTCCGTACTTTGCTGTTATCCCCTGTTTAGCGATTATTTCCCAAAGGTAAGGATTTTTAGGGAGGCAAATCCATCTTTAAACGAGGGATACCTGTACACTAACTTATCTTATTATTGTCTAACACTCACAATGCTATTAAGTCTACAAATTACCTTTCAATTCTCCCACATTCACAGAGAGATACTACTGCCTGGGAAGCTATTGGAAGCATAATGTGTTTTCTAATGGTAGACCCTGCTACCATAACATGACAATAATTGTGACTAAGTTCCAGGTTGCTGATCTGACTGACTTTCTGCCTATTTACACACGATTGCAAGGTCTCAATTGTTTCTTTTGCTTTGATCTGTTTTATTTTTTCTATTCCTTTATTCACCTACAGTATCAGTTGATAATATCATTAAAGTGGGGCCTTCTCGGATTGGTCCCACTGGTCGGGAAGGTTGTGGACCCCAGGGCCGACCTGACCATCATGAAACTACTGGGGTCTCAACTGACATCACACAGTTGCTGGATGATTCTGCTTTTTTCACACTTTATTTTTCCAACATTCGCAGCCTGAGATACAATTTTTCTTCTGTGGAGCACCATCTATTAACCTCTTCCCCCGACCTCTTACTACTATCTGAACTTCAACTGACCAAAGCATGAACTCTGCGTGCTTTTTCGTTGGGCACTGTAAACGCTCTTTGTGCTACACCTTGCGCACAGGATGCAAGGGAGTGCCCAATAAACTAGCCCCCCTCGCTGGGCAAAAAAAAAAAAAAAATTAAAAGGCAATTTTATACATACCTTTTCGTCTCCAACTGCAACCGTCATAAGGGAGGTGTATGCCCCTACTACAACACACATACACCTGTATAGCTCGACTCACGGATCTTGAATTTTCTCTTTATGATGTCATCTGGCTCAAAATATCTCTCCCAACTATAACTATTTTTGTTGTTGCCTATCCTGTTCTCACAAATCTACCAACTATATGGTACTCTTTGACTATCTTACTTCTTTTCATGAGTCGTTGCTATCCACACACCCCAACACCGAGATCTTCTACCTAAGGGATTTCAATGTACATCACAGAGAGTGGCATGGCTCTGCAAGGGATGACCAAGGTGGAGTCCAGGCACTCTCTTTTTTCCTTACTAAATGATCTGGAACAAATAATTAAACACCCTACAAGTGTTCCAGTTAGACACAATCAACTTACTGACATTCTTGATCTTTGTTTTACCTCTAACCCCTCACACTATTCATACCGGTACAGTGATCTGCAAGGTGGAAGAGACGGCCAGGTTCTGGCTCCCTGGCGGTTGCCGCAGTCACGACTCTTTTCCAGACCAGGAGCAGGGCAATTGGCAACGGAGGGCCCAGTCACCGAAGCAGTGATGGTAGAAGCATAGGTTGTTGGACTGTCCTGACAATCTGTGGCCTGCAGGCGAGGGCGATCGGCTTTGCTGCTGGTGACGCTGCCTTGAATCTCCGCAGTGGCTGTCTGGGCGGTGTCGACATTCACAGGGAGACAGTGAAGCTATCTGAACAGAATTAAGGGCACCAATGAGAGCGTCAAGTAGATAGGCTGGCACTGTGACCGGCTGCCGGTTTTCATCGGGCTGAGGAGATGGCAACGAATAGTCTGGTGCCAAGGCAGGAGAGGTTTGTAGTGCTGGTGTCACGGACGAGACACTGGCAGTCATAGAACTAGACGCTTCCATGAAGCGGTCAGCAGACTCCGCCATGACGTTGAGAGAGGTGTTCTCTGGAAATATGGATAGCGCTGCCTGAGCGTTGGCTTGTAAATGCTGTAGGAACAACGGTTGGAGAATGAGGTCTTCCGACGTGGTGCTGGTGGTGGAGAGCAAGTGGCGGAGGCCTCGCAGGAGCTGGGAAGGCTTGCAGTCGCCGAGGAATTCGTCCCTTAACAACTGCTGCATATGCTGCCGAGAAGATGCACCCAGCCGAGCCCGTAACGCCAAGCACAATTTCTCAAAAGGCCCCTCCGTCGGGGGCGCCGTGAGGATGTGGCGCACTTCCATGGCGACAGTAGGTGGTAGCATCGACACGGCATGGTGGCACTTCGTGGCAGAAGCAGTTATTCGGCATGCCGTAAGTAGCTGTTGAGCAGCAGTAGCCAAAGCTCCGGGTCGGAGCCAATGAAGGGTGGAGCGGCAGGATGGACGACTGTAGACAGCACAGCAGCGTCGTCGGCAGCTGGAGCAGCACAGGATGCACCTGGTACTGACATGGTAACAAGACCGCATCTTTTCGGTCATTCTGGGGTCACCAACGTAGTGTTTTGGTCCAGGAAAACTCAGGCTATGTTTGCCAGTTTATTGGTGTGGAGAGGAGAACTATTCTCAAGCATGGAGAGAGAGTGAGTGGCCTTTCCCAGCTTGTTTGTTTTGAGAATACTGGCCACTTCGCCTTTCTGCTATTTCGGCCGAAGTTGTTTTTTCCCTTCATCATTTTCTTTGGAGCTCTTCCCTATGTTCTTTTTGTTTTTCACTTTCCATTTTTCTTCCTTGTCTTGTTCTGGTATATTGTAAGGGCGGAAACGATCCTCCGGCTAGTTACCGCTGCTAACTCGCTCGTTTGCTGGTGCAGACGACACTTGGGGTGGTTGGACGGAGGTGAGAACGGCAGCGACTATCTCCGCCGCCGGCAGATTCAACCCAGCCGCCATACCGTCAGTATCTAGCTACCCTGCTGTCCGTCAAATTCTGGCTGTGATCTCATCATAGGTCCTGGACTCGTGGGCTGTGTTCCCAGACCTTCACCTATCAACTGCCAACTCTCTGGTCATCTACCACTACCGCATACCACGACCATCAGTTCATCACATTCCGTCGGTGCCCCGGTGTTCTCCTGCCTTTTCAAGACGTCGCTGAGTGTGGAGTCGAAGTGGACGTTTCGTTACCCTGAGTGTGCATCACCGTGTTCCAGAACCTTCCCCCAGGGCCACTGCCGTAGGAAATATTTGTTCATGGTTTGATTTTATAATTGTTTGAATCCATTAATTGCTGACTCCCATTATTTGTTTGATTCCTTTAATTGTTGCTTCCATTAATTGTTTGACTCCCGTAATTATTTGATGTTTGTTGAGTGGTGTCAGAGTTTTGTGTTATATTTTTATAGTAAAGAGATGCCAATCTCTAACGGTTGTTTGTTATTCCTCGGAAAACCATGGTCCTTGACTTTCCTTTATTAAGATCCTGATTAGCCTGGTAAGGGATTTCTATCCCTAAGGTTTAACATTCGTTCCTGTGTTGTTGTAAGTCGCCGTGAGCGCGCCACCTTGCTGTCTGTGGCCCGGAAGCAAGTGTTGTTCAGTGGTTATCCCTTCTTTCTGTGTGCTAATTTTGTTGCTCTCCCTTGTGCTTGGGGAAGTTAATTAGTGTTGGTTGGGGTGCACTGTGGATGCTGTCATAGCATATATGTTGTTGTTTCACCTGGTGCCGTTTCGTTACCCTGAGGTGATTCAGCTGGGCTGGGTGCCGAACGAGGTTCCCTCCAGTCGGATCAAATCATTTACTGGTCTGATTGAGCCACTAGGTGAGTTACCTTTGGCTATTTGCGGGGTAAGTTGTTTGTTTTTTCCTTTGTTCTTGGCCTTTCGGATCATTATGTCTGCTTTTGAGGTGTGGAAAGATTAAGCGGTGGCCCTGGGTCTGACAGGTAATGACATTGGTCAGTATGTGGTCACCCAACAGAATGCCGAGAGAGAGGAACGTCAGAGAGCGAGAGAGGAACGTCAGAAAGAAAGAGTTGGAGGAACGCCAGAGAGAGAGAGAGTTGGAGGAACGCCAGAGAGAAAGAGAGTTGGAGGAACGCCAGAGAGAAAGAGAGTTGGAGGAACGTCAGAAAGAGAGAGAAAGAGAGTTGGAATTAGCTAAGTTGCAGGCAGAAAAGGACCTAGAACTGGCTAGGATTAATGCTTCAAGTAGACCAGCATCCTCTGGCCATATGCAAGACAATGTGGTAAAACCCAGCTTGCCTGTGTACCGTGAAGGAGAAGACATCGCCTCCTACCTTGTTAGGTTTGAGCGGGTAGCTGAGCTGCTTGGTGTAGCCCCAGATAGCTATGCTGTAAGGTTGGGTAGCCTACTGAGTGGTAAGCCGGTAGAAATTTACACGTCCCTGTCTGCCGACATCACCCGAGATTACTTCTTGTTGAAGCAAGCTCTCTTGCGAGGATTTTGCAAGACTTCTGACGGTTATCGTGCTGATTTTCGTAGAACGAAGATTAGAGAGGGAGAAACGTACCAGCAGTTTTCGATTCACCTGGGTCGTTTATTTCAACAATGGCTGGAGACATCAGGGGTGGAAGAAACCTTTGAGTCTCTCTCTAACTTCATGATATTAGATCAGTTTTTGTCTTCTCTACCTCCAGACTTGAGAATTTTCATCAAAGAACATCAGCCAGCGACGCTTGGAGAAGCTCTGCATCTTGCCGACAACTGGGCGTCTGCTCGCAACGCCTACCCCAAGTCTTCCCCTCCTGTAGTGAAGATTGCGAAGCCTCCGTCCTCCGAGGAACCATCCCCAGGAGTACACAAGAGTAGTTCACCAGCCGTGCGGTGTCACAGCTGCGGAGGAGAAGGGCACATTCGTTCTCGCTGTCCCAGGAATCCCCTCGCCTTCAAGACTGCTGACACTCAACCCAGCAACAAGGTCGGATTCTGTTTGGAGGTCAGGAGCTGCCCCCGTTATTGTGTCAGTGGAACAATCAATGGGTCTAGGGCATCTACTTTCATCAGGGACACTGGTTGCTCGTGCATTATTGTCTCTGAAGAAGCCCTGCCTGACGCTGACATCTCCAGCTGCCCGAAGGTTAGTGTCGCCGATTATTTAGGTCGTGTTGACCAGTTCCCTGTTGTTAGGTGCTACCTGCGTTGCCCCTATTTCACTGGTTGGTCTAATGTGGTAAGAGCTCCCATTAAATGTGCAAGTGCCCTCATTGGCAATGTTCCCGGTGTTCGTGACCCTAACGACCCGGAAACGTTAAAACTCTCCTCGCCACCAGCACCAGTCCCCACGCCACCTGCTGAGGACGACGACTCGCCACCTGCCGAGGTCACCTCGCCACCCTCTCACGCCGCCACGCCTGCCGCCAAGGTCCAAGCTGTAGGGCCACGGACGGCGAAGGTGAAACGACCCCATCCCCTGATTCTGCCGAATTTGTTGCCACTGACTGTGACGCCCAAGAAGTTCGCCAAGCTTCAAGACTCGTGTGCCACTCTGAAGCGGGTAAGGGAGAAGGTGACTTCCGGGGAGGATCAGGTGAGAGATGGGTCGGTTTATAAGTTTGTTTCTATTAATGGGGTGTTACACAGGTCTTGTGTTTCATCCAAGCGACCAGCTAAAGTAGGTCGGTTTTTACTTGTTGTCCCTGATGTTTGTCGTAGTAACATTCTCTCTGTAGCTCACAAGAGCTCTCTTGTAAGTCACTGTTCTCGTAGGAAAACTTATAGGAAGGTTGCTGATCAGTTTTACTGGCCAGGTATGGGAGCGGATATTAGAGCTTTTTGTAGGAATTGTGATCAGTGCCCACGTATGTCCGCCAAGGGTAGAGTCCGTCCTGTTCCAGTTGAACCCTTACCCGTCGTTGCAGAACCATCTTCTCGGGTAGCCATAGATTTTGTTGGACGATTCTCACCCCCTTCCTCTAGGAAGCCTAAATTACATCAAGCTAAATTGTTAAAGCAATATAATTGCAGGACCCACATTGCTCGTGTCCTTGACGACGTCCCCAAGCTGGAGTTAGTCGAGGCACTACCCTGCAAGAGTTCCTGTGAAGTTCGGACGCCAGAGTGTGTTGATCTCGGTTGCCAGTTGCTGCCAACACCTGACGAGATAGAAGAATCCTCTACGACAGGAAATAGGCCCAAACTTAAACTTGGACTTAAGTGGACCCCACGTGCAGTTCCTTGATACGGCCTTACGTTTTGGACATCAAGTTTCCACCTATTCTTTTCTATGACCTTTCTTTATTATGCAATGTGTATTTAAGCATTTGTTGTAAGATGATTATGCTTTGTGTACTAATCTTAAGTCTTAATCTACCTTACAGTAGATTTTTGTTGGGGGAGCAGTGTAAGGGCGGAAACGATCCTCCGGCTAGTTACCGCTGCTAACTCGCTCGTTTGCTGGTGCAGACGACACTTGGGGTGGTTGGACGGAGGTGAGAACGGCAGCGACTATCTCCGCCGCCGGCAGATTCAACCCAGCCGCCATACCGTCAGTATCTAGCTACCCTGCTGTCCGTCAAATTCTGGCTGTGATCTCATCATAGGTCCTGGACTCGTGGGCTGTGTTCCCAGACCTTCACCTATCAACTGCCAACTCTCTGGTCATCTACCACTACCGCATACCACGACCATCAGTTCATCACATTCCGTCGGTGCCCCGGTGTTCTCCTGCCTTTTCAAGACGTCGCTGAGTGTGGAGTCGAAGTGGACGTTTCGTTACCCTGAGTGTGCATCACCGTGTTCCAGAACCTTCCCCAGGGCCACTGCCGTAGGAAATATTTGTTCATGGTTTGATTTTATAATTGTTTGAATCCATTAATTGCTGACTCCCATTATTTGTTTGATTCCTTTAATTGTTGCTTCCATTAATTGTTTGACTCCCGTAATTATTTGATGTTTGTTGAGTGGTGTCAGAGTTTTGTGTTATATTTTTATAGTAAAGAGATGCCAATCTCTAACGGTTGTTTGTTATTCCTTGGAAAACCATGGTCCTTGACTTTCCTTTATTAAGATCCTGATTAGCCTGGTAAGGGATTTCTATCCCTAAGTCCCAGGCCTTTACATATATGCTCGTAAAGGTCGAAAAACTCTGATAATTTTAATGTTACTGTATCTGGCGTTTTTGGCTTCTTGTTTGTCTTTTCTTTGCTCTTGTTCTGGCTTCTTTTCTGCAGTCTTGTTTGGGTCTTGAGTCTTCTTTTCCTCTGACTTCACTACAAGGAAAGCCTCCTTTTAGCTCAGTTTTTTTCTTGCTTGGCAGCTTAGCCACCCTACACTCCTCCCTCCACCTGAGACACTCCCGGTTGGAGGAGGAGTAAGGACCACCACAAGCTGCTCATTTCTTGGCGGCCGCTGAGCAGTTTGTGTGCTGGTGCCCGGGACACCCGCAAGTGGAACAGACCCTCGAGCTCGACACTTCCCTGCCAGATGGCCATACCTCTGGCATTTATAGCACCTTGTGGGTCTTTTTCATACGGTCTTACTAGGATGTTCTCCCATCCCAGCAATATGGTGCTTGGTAGATGCTCTGGATAACCAACCAGTGAAGTTATGCTGGTCAGCTTCCGTACTATTGAGAGCTGGTCTCCGATCAGCTAGGCCAGCTCTTATTTTTCAAGGTGTTCGATCTCGGTGTGGGAGATTACTCCCAACACCAAGTTATCCTCTGTATAAGCTTCCACTTGGATCTTGATACCGTCAATTTCTTTTATGTTGGCTACTTGTTAGGCTTGTCCCCATTCCGCGAAGGTGACGATAAGGCCACCACCCACTGGTCTGCGGACGACCCTTGTCACCCCCCCGGATTCGTAAGGAGTCAAAAAACTTCCTTAGGACAAGGAGGTTTAGTTGCTTGGGTGAAGGGCATTCGACTGGATACAGTCTTACGACCTTCGCCTGGTGACAGGTCAGCTTTGTACTCATCGTCAGGATCACATAGTACCCCGGGAGCAGAGGTGCAAGTCTGGACTCTGGAGTGTGCCATTCCCAGGCCACCCACGAATATATAGACCGGCTGACTGAACGAAACTCTCCAGGCTCAAGCCTTGAACCAAGTTCAGCCACGTCAGCCAGCCTACTCAACAAGTTACATGAGAAAGACAACTACAGTAGTTACAAATATGTATAGGCATCCGTTAAGTATGTACATTCCATTAGATTACAGTATATTAAATTCATAATAGTTATTCTTCGGTCGCTACAACACCATATTTTATGGAGGTCTGGGACTGAGAGGAGTGCATCCAGGCTATTCCAGAATTGGAAATAATTATTCTCAATCAAATGAATAATTGATTATAAATAAATAAAGCACAACAATCAGTGTTTATATTTAAACAAAATAAAATTTTCAATTCAGCATAGTGGTCGTTAGTGTGATAATTTTTTGTTTCAAGTAGCTTATTGTCCACACAACTCTCTTCTGGGCAGTGACAAGGGGTTGTGTCTTGGTAAACAAGGTCACAATAGATTTCTTTCATTCATGCAAGAGTTACTGGCGAGTATGATACAGGGTACCGCACTATATATTTACGTTTGAGGACTATTACCAAGGTACAAGGGGTTCAAATCTGGGGGTAAATTATTCCTTTTGTGAAAGATTGTGTAGATTTTTTTTTGTTTTCTTAGGTCAGTTTATTACACATTACCCAGGTCCTGACTTTAGTGAATTGACTCTTCATAGATCTCATCAAGGATTGGAGATCTGAGTGGCTGGCATAGAGATTACTATCATCTGCAAATAGGTTGTATTTTACGAGTGAGCTGGAGTGGACTATATCATTTATGTACAAGAACAATACTGGGCGGAGAATGGAGTCTTGAGGGACACCATACAAAATAGGTCAGGATTCAGACTGTTGATTATTATAGCAAACATACTGCTTCCTGTTAGACAGATATGAGGTAAACCAATTGTGGGATAAGCCACTAATGCCGTAGTGTTCAAGTAATGCTCATGCTTAGCCAGGAGGATGGTATGGTTAACCATATCAAAGGTTTTAGAGAGGTCCAGGAAATTTCTGACTAGAAATGAGCCACCTGGCATAAGCCATGACAACAATATCACTATTCCATTAGTGGTATGTTAGCCAGTCTATAGGGGGGGGGGGATTGAGACTGTTGTACTGTTCATCGTATCTCACGACCCAAAACCCACATCTTAGAGTATTCCCTAGACCATGGGTTAAGATGTCCTCATCCACGCCTCCCTGAAGGGAATGGGACGCTACACAGAGGCCTTTCCCACGACCCCGTCCTGTGGACTGTCAGTGACTCGAGACAAAGCGTGCCAACCCAAGGTTGTTATTCCCATGGAAAGATCACGTGTGGAAGCCTGGTTGCGACAAGAGAAATCCAGGCTGGCCTATGAACCTAAGTGGTTAATCAAGTCACCTTACAGAGTTCTCCTGTGCAGCACCATCTACAGTGACTGTCAGTGACAATAGACTGTGTGGTAGCCCAAGGTTTTGATATTCCCCGTGGAAAGACGACCATGCGTGAACTCCTGGTTGCAACAAGAGCGATCCAGGCCGGCGGTGAATGTATCACTTGAAGAATTAAGGCTCTGTTAAGTCACATCCATAGTAGAGTAATCACATGTGTCCCCAAGTTGAAAATTCCCTCATTAGAAGATGAATTTTATTACGGCGTGAATGTGAGTGACTCATATATCCATGCAAATTATAAATCCTTGTATGGAAGCTATCTTATTATTACTGAAGGTAATGACTGATGGTTATGACAAAGTTTAACCAATAACTTAGATGGATGTTGGAAATTAATGGAACTCATTAAATCATCATTTATCAAGTATAAATCGCATGGAATGTCGGGTGGTGGAGTGAATTTCTACGGAGATAAACCATAACCTACTGTAAATAGCCAGTGTGAAGGTATCGAACTCGATGGTAAGAAATTAAGAAACACAAAACATATTATAGTATCCATCCAGATATAATAAATCCGTGGCAACCATTTTGCTCTAAATCAAAACTGAGAGTCTGGAAGGATGTTATTGACACTGTAGAAGGAATGTAATCTACTACATGCTAGCTTCTTCAGTATCTTACTTAAGGCTGGGAGAACTGACATGGGACGGTAATTCTTGAAAAGTCTTTTATCTCCGGATTTTTTATATGCTGAGTGAACTTTAGCAATTTTCAGTTTATCAGGAAATACATCACTAGTGAAGGAGGAGTTACAAATGTGTAAGAGAACAGGTTGTAATAAGTGGGGTACTTTCTTAATGATGCTCATTGGTATATTGTTGACTGCTGACGCATCTTTGGACATTTTTATGGTGGTCAATAATTCATATGCCGTGACAGGGAATTAGAACAGCTCTTTTTACTGTGTTTTGCAGGTAGGCTCTAAGTTCCTAATGGTGATCAGAGATGCTCTCTGTAAGATTTCTGTCAACATTGATAAAATAATCATTGAAGTGGTTGGTAATGATGGAAGGTTCCATTACAACTGAGTGTAGAACAAAAGACCCCTAGTACGAAAGCCCCCGGGAAAAAATCCGCCAAAGACAAAAGCTCCCTAGGACAAAAAACACTAGGACAAAAGCCCCCTAAGACAAAAAATACTATTTGTTTAAATAATTATTTTTATTATTTAGAATTAACAGTTGATAAACACTTCCTAACATATAAAATATTACATTTATTATATTATAAGACTGCAATACCTAACCTAACCTATTTTGCACTTAACTGGGGGGCTTTTGTCCTATTTTGCATTTTAACTGAGGGGCTTTTGTCCAGGGGGCTTTTGTCCGGACCCCGTTACAACTGTACCATTTATCATAAATGCAGAGCCGTAGGTGTTGGGCGGCGGAGGTGAGGGTGAGAGAGAGTGAGGTAGGGACTGAAGGAGGGTAGGTGGTCCTGGCCTGAGGTGAGTGAGAGAGAGAGAGTGAGGGAGGGTAGGCAGTGATGGGCGGAGGTGAGGGTGAGGGAGGGTAGGCGGAGGTATGTGAACACTCAACCCCTCGTCTTGGCCGCCACAACCTCGTGTTTGTTTACACGTACACAAATCTTAATGTCTACCATGCCAAAGTTAATGAATATTTTCTTCTCCTACTGTGGAATTTAAACACAAGAATATTATTTACACTTTGTAGTAAATAAACATGTCATAGTCAGTGCAGACAAGTAAGACGAATCAATCGATCTAATGCAAGAGTCATCGGAGATGACAAAACATTGATGGGCACGTTTGGTGAGGGTAGGATAAGCTACGTCAGGGGTGTGCCCAGCCGTCGTCCTTGGCCAGGGTGAGACTACACGGTCCGGCTGCCCCTCCCTCCCTCACTGCTCGCACAAGGGGAAACACGCGCCAGGAGGAGCTGTCTTATTACCTAAAGCTGTGCCTTATTTTAACTACAACAAAGCAACCATCCTCCGCCTTTTTGACTCAGTGGACGTATATCCTCGTGCTTCTCAAGGTCTGTGTCAAATTTTTTAAACTTAAAGGGTAATAGTTCGTATTCATAGCACATCTTCATGTAGATCAGTTGACATTTTCGCATTATTTTTAAATGTTGTGTCATCTGTGCTTTATATATAATACAGAGACGATAGTTTCTTGAATTATAAAGTGAGTTAATATTAATTTTATAATTAAACATATGAATACGGTTATCTCTTCTGCTTAAAGGTTCGTCGCATATCAAATTTAACCTGGAAATTTACAGTGACTATACAGAGCTCTTGGTTATTCCAGAAGTTCAAAGCCGACGTGATGTGGTTTCTTGGGACCACAAACCCACCCCATACACACGTTAGCTGAAATGGCACAGCACTTTATCTCTAATGGCAAGATAGCCGACATATTAAGATTGTATTCACTTTTTTGCACTTAGTAGCTATACCAGTTCCCATGTATAGAACCAAACACACAATGTGCTTGAATACCTCTCATGCAAATGTGAATAACAAAGTGTGCGGCCAGACTACTGTCTCACACTCCTGTATAGAATTAAAATATCCTGACCACGGGGGTTAGTTATACAGACCCTTTGTGAACTGTTCTCTGTTATCCTTTGTGCTGCCGCTCACAGGATGAGTATGGGGTGCACAAAAAACTAGACGATAAATAAATAAAAAAATAATTACCCGTAAAACATAAAAAAAAATCGTGCCACTTTAGATAGATAGATATTCAGTATAACCATTATACACATTACTGTCCTCGAGTTTACAGCTTGAACTGGCAGACAGTTCCGTATATCTACCACCCTCAGAGTGAAGAATTTCATTATCTTCTATTCGTCCTGCATGACATCTTGACGGACGAGGTTGTAATTGCCTCCTTTCGTGTTGGTGGTGCGTGACATCACGAAAAAAAAATGGCCCAGGTTCACGTTTTCCATCCTTTACAATATTTTTAATGTCTCAAGAGATCTGCCCTGTTGTGTCTTATCTGAAGGGCTGTTACTTCTAAGGTGCTCAGGAATCATCTTAGTCGCTCTGTGTTGTACCTTCTCTAAGTCTTTCTGGAGAAACGGTAAGGTTTACATGCTTGTATAAAGTTATCCAATTAGGAAGGTGCAAGAAACTTATAAAGTTTAAGGAATATTTACTTTTCTTTGTATTTAAAGACAAGATTTTTAATTCCTAAATTTCGGTTGGTCGATTAGGCTTTAAAAATCAATTGACATTTTTGCTGAATAGGGATAATTATTTCTTTTTATTGCTATACATTAATGGAAATTAATTCATATGTAATTTCATTTAAGACGTCTATGGCCAGTCAAAAGCTTTCCCCCCTAAAAAAAGAAATGCATAGAAGGTATCACTGTTAGGCATCTATCATTATTTGTACGACATTATGATTTTGTACATACTGTACATTTCGTGGGGTGTGCAAGAGTGATTATAATATGTAGCTATTTCTGGTATTGGTGTGTGGGAGGGTAAGAGTCGGTGTGATCCCTCTTCCATCCCCCGTCCCTCCTCCATTCCCCTTGCCGCACCACACATCTCGTATTCCTCAGCTGTTCTGTCAGTGTGTATGTGTGTGTGTACGTGTACGTGTACCCTGTGTGTGATATATATATATATATATATATATATATATATATATATATATATATATATATATATATATATATATATATATATATATATATATATATATATATATATATATATATATATATATATATATATATATATATATATATATATATATATATATATATATTGAATTGAATTGAATTGAATTGAAACAGTTTATTTAGCCAGAAAAACACAGATACAGAGTCAGTGCCGGATTTAGACCTGTGGAGGCCCACGGGCAGCCTCTTTGTGGAGGCCCCCCTCATTATACTACCCAAGAGGGTGGGGTGGTGAGTGAAGCGAGCCTAAACATCTGGGAGTTCCGGGGGGCGCTGTAAGCCTCCCGGGAAAATGTTGAAATTTGAACACTTCTTTGGAGAATTTTGAAGCCATATGCAGTTACATTGAGGACATTAGAACATTGAGAAAAGTGTGTGTGTGTATGTTGGGAATTTGTACACATGCATTTTAAAGAATGAAAATAAAAATAATCCAAATGAATAAACAAATAAATAAAATATTGTAATATGTGGAGGCCCCTAGGCAGCTGCCCACTTTGCCTACTCCTGAATCCGGCTCTGTGCAGAGTGGATAATAATAACAATATTAACATGGCTGAGCCAGTTGAGAACCTGAGCTCTCTTTTAGGCACCTGATATATACCATACATTTATCTCAAGGAAGTATTATGTAACATTTAGTCTCATCTGGAATAGTACAATAGCATGGTGGTAATAAGAACATATCATAATGTTACCACGGTTATCACTTTGCTTATTAATATTATTTATTTATATATACATAAATTACAGTGGAATTGAAAAACATAAGTATAATGGGGGAGCAGTACAACCTGGGTTGTACAGTAATAAGGTTGAACAAGAGGACAGAGCTGTCAGGATTATGTCTAGTTGGCAATTATGTTTATTGCAATGGTAATTACTAATCTATTTACATGATAATTTCCAATAAAACGGTTTTGATGGGATAATAAAAGCAGGTACCGTAAATATAGTAGGTGTTACAAGAAATATTAATACTTAGACAATAGATATTTTTAATATATATATATATATATATATATATATATATATATATATATATATATATATATATATATATATATATATATATATATATTTGTGTGTGTAACGTTTGTTGTGAAATAGGCTATTTTGCAAAATTCCCGGCATGCATATTGGTAGTTTTGCGAAATAACTTACAAACAGGCTAAACAAAGTTAAAAAAAAAAGAACAGAACCACTTAACTGTGTATCAATCTACACGAGCCATCCTAACCTAACCTAACCTAACCTCTCTTCTCACTTAACCTAACCTTTCACTTAACCTAAGCATAAGGTTAGGTTAGTTTAGGTTGTCTGTTTGTAATTTATTTCGCAAAATTACCAATATGCATGCCAGAAATTTTGCAAAATAATCGATTTCGTAAAAAAATTAACATATATCATCATTCCATATAGCACGCGGACTTCCATATACAAACAATACCTCACTACTCGGGAATCGAATCCTGGATCTCTATGTGTGTGAACAGGGAGTGCTACCATCTCGCCACAAGGGCAACTAAAGCAATTCTAGGCTTTGTGAGATTCCACACAAGCCTGTTCAGCGTGCTTAATAAGCGCCTTGAACCTCCATTGGACTGATGAGATTTATATGTACCCTCGTGTTTCCGAGCTGGCACGGTCCGACAATCCCCAGTGCTTAACAAGCACATTGAACAGGCTTTGTATGGAATATAACAAAGCCTAAGATTATTTTAGTTGTCCTTGTGGCTCAGTGGTAGCGATCCCTGTTCTCACGCAGATGTCAAGGCTTCGATTCCCAAATCGTGGGGTATTGTTTGTATATATGTATATATATATATATATATATATATATATATATATATATATATATATATATATATATATATATATATATATATATATATATATATATATATATATATATATATATATATATATATATATATATATATATATATATATATGTAACCGGTCGGAATTTACTGGACTTTAATTTCTCACTTGACTTGGGGTTTATTAAAAATTAATAGATGGTAATGGCAGTGGAAGCGCCCCTTTGAGAAAAATCCCGAACCAGCACAAGAACACTTAAATCTACTAAACAAAATGAATTGTCCGTGACCCGTGGAAGGATAGCGTCTGTGACTGGGATGAATGAGACACACTGTAAAATTTAGACACTTATATTCCCTCCAACACTACAAACACAATCAAATAATGGTACACCAATATGCGCACCTCTTAACTTAAACTTAAAACACTACTCTGGGGAATAAAAGTTATACATGATATAGAAATTATTAGAAACACAGGCAACAATAAATTTGAAGTAGTAAGAAATGTTGCTTGCACACATGAAACAGGCCTTAAGGGCTTTCAACAAAATAATATCAGTCACTGAGGAAATGGTAATAAAAAATAAAAAATTAAATACTCTACAATGAATAGGCCTTAAGGGCTTTCAACAAAATAATAGCACCCCAACAGATGCACACTTCCTAACCTAACTTAACCACTACTCTGGGGAACAAGGTTATACCTGAGATCAGGATTATGAAGAACAATTAGATGCATTAAAAGAATCAAATCACAGCATCACTCTGGTTCCACTTAATGGCACAAACATTAAAAAACAATACTATCAAAATTATTTAGGACTATTAAACTACACACGTCAAGATAATATCAGTCTGAGGAATGGTGTTAACTACACCCGTAATAAGGAAGATAAAATGTTCCTCTAGGTATCTCCTAGAGTCCTAGACTCACGGTCTCAGTGTGTGACCATTAATATACTCAGATAGCCTCAGTGTACTCCCAGTGCGTCCATGGGCAGGAAGAGAGTGAGCCAATCAGACCTTGTGCAGTTGAGAGGAGCTTTAGCTTCCCGTTAGCAAGAGGGTTTCACTAAGCGGCTCGGGACATGTGGTGTTGTGAGCCGACGTCAGCTGGGCACCCAGACGGCTAGATTCCCTCAAGAGATCCTTTGGTACCCCGCTAAACAGTGACAGGCCTACTCTGATCGGTCCAATGGCGACAATCGCCACCCTCAATCATCAACGGCAGTCTCAAACGGCAGTCAATCTCTCGCAGTCAAACTCCGGTCAACTCCGGTCAACTCCAGTCAACTCCAGTCAACTCCAGTCAAGTGGGTTCTGACGGAAACCCTGAAATGAACTCACTGTTAGCTCTAGTTAACTTTACCACTGCCCTATCTAAACCCTGTCTGAGATTGAATGAGACTTACTTGTTATACTGCCATAGCGCAGCACAGGTGACTAGGCCACGTGACTATTTCTGTGACAGACGCGCAGGGACGTCTTGTCTGTGTGAAT